GGAGGGGAGAGAAGGGAGGGGGTTGGGGACAATTGGCTGATAGGGGTCACGGTTGCAGAAAGATTGAAAGAGCAGCAGGGTGAGGGGGAGTGTGGGAGGGGGAAAGGGTGGAGGAAAGGGGGGAAAAGGCATCTTACAGGAAAGGGGGGGATATGCTGTAGTGGAGACAGTAAGATGCCTTTGGTGTTAGGCATTGGGAGTATAGCAATCGCTTGCCATCCTAGCACTTGTTTTGAGCATCGTTTGTCTGGGATTGCTAACGTGGCAGGGTATGCAGTTGGCATAGCATGGCATCCGATGCTCTTACAATTGAGTTTTGAGACGCCTTGAAAATTCTGTGCGATTGCGTGGCATGGTATTGTATGGCATGGCATGTGATGGGATGGGATGGGATGGGATGGGATGGGACGGGACGGGACGGGACGGGACGGGACGGGACGGGACGGGATGGGATGGGATGGGATGGGATGGGATGGAATGGGATGGGATGGGATGGGATGGGATGGGATGGGATGGCATGGCATGTTGTTTGTCAGGCAGGAGGATCATCAGATGGATCAGAAGCCATAATCCGACGGCTGTCATTCAATGCTGACGAAATCAACGCTGTGAGTCTTCTCTCTCTTGCACTCACTCGCTCCCCGCTTCCCTCCCTCCCGTTCCCAATCCTTCTCCCTCTTGTCCTCCTTTTCCCGCTCCCTCCAGCCCTCCCTTCTCCTTCTCCGACCTACACAACTTGTTTCCTGTACGCTGCTCATTTCGATCTCCCTTTTGAGACACCTCAAAAGCTTCCTAAATTGCTGCTCAGTTCAACTCCTGAAACCCGACACTCTAGCTAGCAACCCCTCCCTACCTCACTTCACCAGTTGGCAGTGGACCGCAAGGGCGACTTCCTGGCTGCAGCAGACGATTCAGGGCAAGTCAAGGTGCGTGCGGGATAGAGCTTAGCTGAGAGCCTATAGGCCCTCCTAGTCAACCACTCGCTGTACTTAAGTCTAATGGCGCTGCTTTGGAGTTCCCTGACCGCATCTTTATCCGTCCTTGCTCTCTGCACACTGCTCCAAAGCAGGGACGAGGCAGGCTCTGCCTCCATGCTCCATGCTCTCTTTGCACCCTTCATGCTTCCACATGCTCTGCCTCGCCCACCCTCCTCTTTCCCCTCATTAGGTCATCAGCCGCATCAACCACTCCCTCCACCGCACTGAGCCGTTCTCTTGCCCCCCTCTTCTCCCCTCCTCAGGTCATCAACCTCATCAACCACTCGCTGCATCGAACCCTCCGAGGCGTTCATAGCTCAGTAATAACAGCTCTAGCTCATGCAGGTGACAGGTTGTCTCGTAAACCATTTGCACCAGGTGTTATCCCATGTACGACTTGCAGCAGCAGCGCTACTCCTCTTCCTTCCTATTTCCGTTCTCTCTCTTCCTCCTCGTCGTTACCTTCACTCCTCCTCCCTCCACTTTCCTGCTGTTCCCTCCCTTCCACCACTTCCTCCTAATCCATTCCCCACTCTGATCCTACGTAAAATTTGTAGCAGAGCTGTTCAGTTTCCCTCCCTTGTGCATTTTGTTCTTCACATTCTATACCCCTGAACCCCATTTCTTTCCCTTCACACCTTTCATTATCCCATTATACCTGCAGCTTCATTCATTTTCAGCTCCACTCTGCTCGACTTCTCCCTCTCTCCCTTCCCTCTTCCTTGGCTTTCCTGCTCTCCTTTCTCTTCTCTCCTCGTCCATCCTCTTCAACTTAATTCCCTCCCTTCCACCACTTCTTCTTACTCTTTCCACACCATGTTTGTCCTTATGGCAGATCTGCAGCTCTGTTCTCTTCCACCCCAAGCAGCCCTGGCAGTGTGAGTGCTGAGATGCCTCTTGTGCTGAGATGCCTCTTGTGCTGAGATGCCTCTTGTGCTGAGATGCCTCTTGTGCTGAGATGCCCTGGTTCATCCTCTCTCTGCACTTGCCAGAATCGTTCTCCCTTCCGTCTCAACTTCTCCTTTCTTCCTCTTCTCCTCTCTCCTCTCCTTCACTTCTCCTATCTCCTCTCCTCTCTCCCGCCGCCCTCCAGTGTTCCCCCCGTTGCTCTTGACTGTACCTGGGAGTTTGCAACAGGCCGACTCGTCTGCCTGTTTATCTTCTCTCTGCATTTGCCTGAACCGTCAAACCCTCCCACTCCTCTCGTCCTCTCCCCACTACCGCCCTCCAGTGTTCTCCGCTGCTCTCGACTGTACCTGGGCTCAATGGGACTTTGCCTCTGGTCGACCCCTCTGTTCAGTCAACCTCTCTGCAGATACCACCTCCCCCGCTGCACCCTCCCCCAGTGCACCCTCCTCCTCCCCCTCGTCCTCCTCGTTCTCGTCTCGCATGTGCAATCCTCCCTTCATCCACTCTCTGTCTGCGCTCCACATCCCTCCTGTGAAGGCTTCTCCTAGTGCTGCCGGCACTGGTGATAGCAGCATTGCTGGTAATAGCAACAACAGTCCCGGTACCACCGCCGTCACCACTGCTGCCGAAGCTGCTGGCTCTGCTGGTTGTGATGCTTGGAGGACACGTGGCATGACGCTATTGGCTGTGGCGCAGGGCGATGGCACTGTAGCAGTCTGGGATGCCGATGCTGACGTGGATGGGGAGGGGGAGAGGAGGGCAGGAGGAGGCGGAGGAGGAGGGCAGGACGAGAGGAGAAGGAGGAGCGGGGGGAGAGGGAGAGGAAGAGGAAGAGGTAGGAGGGGAGGAGGAAGGCAGGAAAGGGGGGCGAGTGAACGACCTAGGGGTGGCACTGCTGCTGTTCCTGCAACAATTGCAGAGGACTCAGAATTGAACAACGAGGACGCCTCTAACGGGGGCACATGTGCAGCAGCAAGGGAAGAGGATGCGGAGGAGGGGAAGAGGAGGGGAGGTCGGCTACTTGTTTTTGGAGGGCCCATGACAGCAGGAGGGGCAGCCGCCAGTGGGGGTGGGGAGAGAGGGGAGAGTGGGGAAGAGTGGGGAGAGTGGGGAAGAGGTGACTTTTGAGTCGACTCAAAAGGAGAGTGGGGAAGGTGGGAAATGTGGGGGAGGAAGTGGGGAAAGTGGTGAGAGAGGAGGAGGGGGGAGAGGAGGGGAAGGAGGAGCAAGAGAAGGAGGGATGCGTGGTCATTGCGCATCAGTCTCTGCTGTGTGAGTGTGTTTCTTGGGAGATCCGACCTGCCTTTTGACTCCTCTGTTATAGTATTTTTCCTCCTTCGATCCTTCTTGTGCGATGTTTTATAACATCTCTAGTTTCCTAGGATAGTAGTGCTGACTGCCTGAGACTTGCCTTCCATCCCCTCAGATACCACTTGAGATTACTCCCAACGCTTTTCCACCAGAATCCTTCAACCTTTCTCTCCTCTCCTCCTCCCTTCTTCCCCACCAGCACCTTCTGTCGCTTTGCTCCCCCCGCTGCGCCTCTCCTCGCCTCTGGGGGCAACGATCGCCTCGTGTTGCTCTGGGATGTGGCACATGCACTCTCTCCTCCCTCCTCTGTGCGTGCCTGCTAACCCCCTCCCCTTACCCTCACCTTCTCTCCCCCCTCCCCCCCCTCCCCCTTTCGACTCCCCCTTCTTCTCCACCAGCACCTTCTGTCGCTTTGCTCCCCCCTCCGCCCCTCTCCTCGCGTCTGGGGGCAACGATCGCCTTGTGTTGCTCTGGGATGTGGCACACGCACTCTCTCCTCTTCCTCCTCCTCTTCCTCCTCCTCCTATCTCTCCTCCACGTCCTCCTCTCCTTCTTCCTCCTCCTCTGCCTCTTGGTCTCGGGCTAAAGAGGCTGGTGAAGGAGGAAGTGCTGATACTGAGTCTGACTGTAACGAAGATGAAGGGCGGAGAGCGGCAGGTGGGAGGGCGCCACTGGCGCCGGTTATTCGTATACAGCATGGGCGGAAGGTGAGAGACAGAGGTAGGGGAAGGGGGGGGGAGGGGAGGAGTAGGGGGCCGAGGGGAGAGGGGGGGAGTGGGGCATTGTTGGCGCTGGACATTCGCATACAGCATGGGCGGAAGGTGAGAGACTGGGTTGGTGGGGATTGGCGAGAGGGGAACTTTGGCGCCGATCATTCGCATACAGCATGGGCAGAAGGTGAGGCGAGAGGAGGGGGAGGGTAGCTTATATGGATGGAAGGAAGGTGTACAAGACATTAAGCTTTCTCGGTTCGAGGTCTTTTAAGTTTTTTTTTTTTTTTTTGAACTTTGACTTGGAGATAGGAAGGTGGACATGCGAAAGTTGAATTGGGAGAACTATGGTGGGGAGAACAATAGGATATTGTAATTTGTAACTACGGGCTTCTTGATGTAGCATATAGCTGTCACCTCCATTTTTCGGTTCCCAAGTCCACGTTCTTTGCATGTGTCGCGCAGTGCTATGCACAAAGGGAGGCGCCATACTCTGGTTTTCGAATTTGTGAGCCTCTTACTTTTTTCGCACATGGCAGGTGAATTTTCTTTCTACATCATTTGGGGTACAAGGCCGGAAGATTTTTGTTGCGGACACCTCCAAGAGGGTCTCTGCTTATGGCATCCCTGCATGATTTTGATATTGTAGTCTCTTCTCATCAATTGTGTTGATCATGGCGTACATGAATGTTTAGTATGAGATTATGCTGACGATGCATTTGCTATCAGCTATCTTTTGTGTGTATGAATTTCCTATCACGCTTCCCAGAACAGTATAGCTCACTAACGATTCGTTTCTGGAGCCCAACGACGCCGTTCAATGACACGTCGACTTTCTCCACGTGGAAGATACCGCCTTCGTCAAGTGGCCACAGCCACAGCCTCCGTAAGCCGATGAGGACAACGTTTGCATCTGCACCACACATCAGACTGAATGGATTGCTTCCCTGGTGGGTTCCTGACGAAGAAGGGATCAACGCCAGCACGATGGGAGATTCCACCTCTGCAATCAACGGTGAGTCTCGAGCCTCTGTGTTTGCGTCAGACATACCAATCCACGTGGCGACAAATTGGAGAGTTTGCCAACTTTCTGATGCCACGTCAGCCCAGATCTTCCCGCTTTGGTAGAGCTTGTGGTGGAGACTTCGATGGTTGGTTGAGCCTGGCGTGTAACGAAACATGCTTCAAACGAGTACAGCCGAGAGAGTTCCCTTAGGAGCTTGGTCAATCCGTTCTGTACTTCTGTTTTCCAAGAGTAGTTCATTTTCTGCTACCTGTCAGTGGGAGTTCCCTAATCTGCTCGTGTTTGACTTATCGCACTAAATCAGCACCGAGCAGTTTAACGTAACTCCTTCAGTCTCCAGCAACCATGGCTTCCCTCCTCGCCAAGACCCCCGTCGCAGCGCAGACGGCGACGCTGAAGTCGTCGTTCCTGGGCTCCAAGCCAGAGGCGAAGGCCGCGAGCGCTGCGCTGCCGGTGAAGAAGTCCGACGCGCGCGTGGTGTGCATGGCTGGTGACCGTTGGGGTGCTCTGGGCCGCGATACGTCCGACGACCAGCAGGACATCACCCGCGGCTATGGCCTGGTCGACTCCGCCTTCCAGGTGAACCGCTGGACGACAGCTCTTTTCTCCGTGTTTGTTCCTCTGGAAAACTGCTCCTGGATGTGAATTCAAGTTTGTGTTGCGCTGGGGGAGGAGTTGACGGAAGCTGGCAGTGAAATGCAGGATCAGGCTTCGTTGTCCGTGATTTTTTTTCTCTCTCTCATTTTTTTAGCCTGTTGAGACTTGAAATTGCCTTGTATTTATCTTCGTGGCCCGACCTGCTGTTGTGGTGCTGCGTGCAGGGTGCTCAAGGCATTGGCACGCACAAGGCTGTCCTGTCGTCGTATGACTACGTCAGCCAAGGCCAGAGGAGGTAATTTTTTTACTTCAGCCAACCGTGAGATATCCGTTCGAACTTTTTAGTTCGTGACATCCTACTTTTATTTGTGATACAAGCACCCGCGTCTCACGACGTGAAGTTTTATCATGTTGTTCATGATATGCAATGCTTACTCTGAGGTGTCCCTTCATGAAGCGTTGCGTGGTGCAATGGTTACTCGTACATGTCATGGCTTGTTATTTCGTGTCCTGGCGTGTGCATTGCTTATCGCCTAATCTGTCATGGCATATTGGTGTGTGTGCAGCCTGCAGTGGGACAACACCAAGGACGGCTACTACATCGCTCCGGCCTTCATGATTCTTGAGACGTCTAAAGAATCTCTTGCATTGCTTCTTCCATATATCTTTGTGTGGTCGTGTGTGCAGCCTGCAGTGGGACAACACCAAGGACGGCTACTACATCGCTCCCGCCTTTATGGACAAGGTCGTCGTGCATCTCGCCAAGAACTTCATGAAGCTGCCCAACATCAAGGTGAACATGTTGCTCCGTGTCTCCCTAATCGTCCATTGCATGACTCCATTGTTATGCAGCCTATTTGAATTTCGTGAAGCTACCCAACATCAAGGTAAATATGTTGCTCCGTGCCTCCCTAATCGTCCATTGCATGGCTTCTTGAATAGTTTTGTTTTCCAACCTGTTTGAACTTCGTGCACAGCACAACCGGCATTAAAATGATAACATGAATAGCTTACGAAAATAACATAAAGTGCGAATCATCACGGTGACTGACAATGCCTCGTGCTTTCATCAATGTCCCACTCGCTCTCTCCTTGCAGGTGCCGCTCATTCTGGGAGTGTGGGGAGGCAAGGGTCAGGGCAAGACGTTCCAGATGGAGCTCATCTTCGCCAAGCTCGGCATCAAGTGCGTCGCTCGCCCGCCTTCCCTCTCTCTTTGTCGCTTTCCCCTCCTCGTTGTCTCTCGCTTTCCCATTCCGTCGCTCGCCCTCCCTCCCTTTTCGTCGCTTTCCCTCCCTCCCTTTTCGTCGCTTTCCCTCCCTCCCTTTTCGTCGCTCGCCTTTCATCCCGTTTCGTCGTCCTGTGCGACGATGACGAATTATTCCCATTCACCCTCAGCACACTGTTTTCCTGTTTCGTCGGTTTCCCTGCTCCTCGTCTTCTGTACCGATGACTTGTCGTTTCTAGTAGTAACCACTTATAAGAGAGCCACCTCATCACCAGTCGCGGAGCAAACTCCGGGGAGCAATCCGTTCTCGCCGTCGCCAATCTTCCTTTCCTCCTTCCCGCGACTCCCGAACCCTTTTCCTCCCCTCCACCTCCCCTCCTCCCCGCAGCCCCATTATGATGTCCGCGGGAGAGCTGGAGTCCGGGAATGCTGGAGAGCCCGCGGCGCTGATCCGGCAGCGGTACCGCGAGGCGTCGGACGTGATCAAGAAGGGCAAGATGTGCTGCCTCTTCATCAACGGCCTCGACGCGGGCGCGGGGCGCATGGGATGGGACCCACCCGCTCCGTCCCTCGCCTTTCCTCATCCGTCTCCTTCCTCCCGCGTCTCCCCAACCCCTTCCTCTTCCCCCCCTCCCCCCTCCCCCCCCTTTCAACCGCAGCCCCATCATGATGAGCGCGGGAGAACTCGAGTCCGGCAACGCGGGCGAGCCGGCGGCGCTGATCCGGCAGCGGTACCGCGAGGCGTCGGACGTGATTAAGAAGGGCAAGATGTGCTGCCTCTTCATCAACGACCTCGACGCGGGCGCGGGCCGCATGGGCGGCACGACGCAGTACACGGTGAACAACCAGATGGTCAACGCCACGCTCATGAACATCGCCGATAACCCCACCAACGTGCAGCTCCCCGGCATGTGAGTGTCGCGAAATCGCGGGATCGTGGAATCAGTTCAATCTTAATGGGATGTGATGACGTGGGGAATGTTTAGGGAGAAGGGCGGGGGGCCGGAGAGGGGGGGAAGGGGGGGGATGGCCGAGCCTGATAGACTGACGGATATCCTCCGGACATAACCGCGAAGGTATGCGTTGACTCATTTGTTCCTTACCTTAAACTGGTTTGTTTCCTAGGTGCTGACTGGAATGCTCCCCCTCCTCCCCCCACAGCCCCTCTCTCCCCTGGTTAACGCCGACTAAGTTTTTCCTAGCCCGGCTCTTTGTTACAACCCCTTGCACCCCGCAGGTACAACAAGGACGAGATTCCCCGCGTGCCCATCATCGTGACGGGCAACGACTTCTCCACGCTGTACGCGCCGCTGATCCGCGATGGGCGCATGGAGAAGTTCTACTGGGCGCCCACGCGCGAGGACCGCATTGGCGTCGCGCAGGGCATCTTCCGCCTCGACGGTGTGCCCGAGCAGGACGTTATCACCCTCGTTGACACCTTCCCCGGCCAGTCTATCGGTAAGCGGCGTGGCCTTGTTTACTTGGTGAGGTGAGCGCGTGCTTGCGCTGTGAGAGCACTGTGAGTGGTTGTGCATGTATGCGCGGTAGAGTCCACTGCAACGGGCGCATGGAGAAGTTCTACTGGGCGGCCACACGTGAGGATTGCATTGTGACGCCTTCCCTGGCCAGTCCATTGGTACATTACTACGTGTAGTTGGCACCTTCTTTGCAAGGTTGATTTGTGCTAATGGAGCATCCACTAGTGCGCTCAGGTCAGCATGGACAACAGCTCAGCACTGTTTCCACCACATGACTTGTCTCCCACACCCCTCCTCATCCCACTTCAACCTTTGCCATTACCTTGCACCTCTCTTCACCACCATATTTCCGTTGAGCTCTCCATGCCCACGTGCTTTCGACAGTGTGGTCTGCAAGTGGGTGGGCAAGGTTGGCGTGGACAAGGTCTCCACACTCTCACCATCACATGACCATCATCTGTACTCCCTTACCACCGATTTCCACCACTTCCCATCTCGTTTCCCCAACAGATTTCTTCGGTGCCCTGCGCGCCCGTGTGTACGATGACGAGGTGCGCAAGTGGGTGGGCAAGGTCGGCATGGACCACCAGTTGTCAACAAACCACCACAGGATGACCTCACCTCTAAACCCCTCTCCACCTGTTTCCACCCTTTTGTGCCCTTCTCCACCACACTTTACCCACAGATTTCTTCGGCGCTCTCCGCGCCCGTGTGTACGATGACGAGGTGCGCAAGTGGGTGGGCAAGGTCGGCGTGGAGCAGGTCTCAAAGCACCTCGTCAACTCGCGGACAGGACCCCTGAAATTTGACCAGCCGAACATGAACCTGGAGACGCTCTCTTCCTGACACCTGACTCATCACCTGCACCCCTTTCCACCCCTATCCACCACCTCTCATCACTCATCCCCTGCAGATTTCTTCGGCGCCCTGCGCGCCCGTGTGTATGACGACGAGGTGCGCAAGTGGGTGGGCAAGGTCGGCGTGGAGCAGGTCTCGAAGCACCTCGTCAACTCGCGGACGGGCCCGCCGAAATTCGAGCAGCCGAACATGAACCTGGAGACGCTGCTGGCGTACGGCAACATGCTGGTGAAGGAGCAGGAGAACGTCAAGCGCGTGCAGCTCGCCGACACCTACCTCGCATCGGCTGCTCTGGGTGATGCCAACCGCGACCAGATGGAGCAGGGAACCTTCTTTGAAGGTGCGTTCACTTGTTCCAATCCACCCTGGAGGTTGTCTGGGCTTGTACTAGCTAGGCTTTTCACAGCTTTGATCGATCCGGTTGGGGTTAGGCTGGAGAGAAGCTGGGAATGGTGCTGGTGGTCTTGTAGTGAGAAATGCGTCTACGAGGTACCACAAGGGCTGCTCTGATTGCTGTGTTTTGGTACCAGTGGACTAACCTCTCTTCCTGCAGGTGGCTATGCCCAACAAGTGGTAGTGCCAGTGCCAACAGGCTGCTCTGATCCCACACAACGCCATAATCACTCACTGCAATCTGGACCGTTTGTGTGCCCTTCTCAATCCCTCTTGTCCCTCCTCCCACAGGTGGCTATGCCCAACAAGTGGGAGTGCCGGTGCCAACAGGCTGCTCCGATCCCAATGCTGTCAACTACGACCCCACCGCCCGCAGCGACGACGGCAGCTGCGTCTATGACTTTGCCCAATAAGCTCCCTGCGTTCCTTCCTGATGTGATACAATGGGACTGTATTGGTTTCATGTGAAGTGCAACGATGCTTGTTACTGTGGTTTTCTTCCTTTACCCTTAATATATTACGTTAGGTTGATTGTTGTGATTTAGGATTGTGGTGTGTCATTTGTAAGCAGCAGCAATACCAACAGACCTGGCATGAGGTTTTATTGAGGTTTGTAGTAAGCTAAACTCACTCATTCTGATGGGTTGAGTAAATGCACAAGATGGCCCACATACCAGTACAACACTGGAACTTGATGGAGAAATATACAGCTACAAGCTTTTACCCATACCGTTTGATGGACCTTCCGTTACATACGGTAGCAGGACCTTAGGGGAGTGTACTGTACCTAACACCCAACCAGAGTTACAGACCCCTGGCCTTGAGCACGCACTTTAGTACACTCGAATATAACGAGACAACTGAGGCACCTACCGGTACTAGATAGGTAATGTAATGAGGCAACTTATCGGTAATGGACTTCACTCCTCTTCCTTGGGCTTGGGCACAGGCTTGAATTCATAATTGTTAATGTCAATCTTCTGCTGCATACGCTGCAGATGGGGAGATGGTGGGTAGGTGGGGACAACACAAAGAGGCAACATTAGGGGATGTAAGAAGAGCGCATGAGCAGTGACACGGGTCTGCAGTGCTTGTACTCATACTTGTTAATGTCAATCTTTTGCTGCTGCGCTGCAGATGTGGGAAGGAAGGGACGACACAAAAGCCATAAAGCGTCATACTTCACTCCTCAGTGTCCATTTGCTGATGTTTCTCCGCATGGGGAGATGGGAGGGATGACAGAAAACCAATCAGAAGAGGCCAACAAGGATGCTTGAGCAGCAAATTTGAAGCACCTAAAAAAACAATTTGCGTTTAATTGCTGGCCTCAACATTCATGTCCTTTCCCCAATGTCGCTCTCCCTGGTCAGCGATCGAGTTGCCTCTAGTGCGCCTCACAAGTCTCACCTTAAGCTCTTCCTCAAAGTCGATTGCATTCCGCTTGGCAGGGTGCCTTCAAATCCCCATTGTCACTCTCTCTAGTCAGCGATTGTGTTGCCTCCAGCTCCGCTCACTCCTGATGCACCTTACAACTTTCTAGCTCTCGCATCTCACCTTGAGCTCTTCCTCTAAGTCGATTGCTTTCCGCTTGGCAGGTGCCTTCAAATCCCCGATGCCTTCAAGTCCCACAAGGCTCAACTACCTCGTTCAATCCCGACTTCTTGACACTTCGTTCCAAAGCTCAACGAGCGAGAGTGTTAGAGACTAGAACAAAGGCACACTAAGTGAGTGACAGATGTTCCATAAGAACTTCATGATCTGAGGCTGGAAATTATGGTTGCGACTCGCAAGTACCACAAGCTGCTCGCGGGGATTCTAGCCTCATTCAATCAAGGCGTGGTATCATGATGGTTGAATGACCTGCTGGTGTTAACATTTACGGGAGTGCTTTCAAGATGATCACTCTCGGGGTCGTTTTTTGACAGGACTAAAGCCAGTTCTGTACGACACAATAACGGTATGCGTAGGTCCGTTGCGGTTAGGGGTACCGGCTTCATATTCCTCAATTTGCCTATTTGTAATCTCGGCATCGGAACACCCCCTCCCGTATATAATGTTTACAGACAAACACGAAAGCCTTGCGAAATTTGTGCAGTTACCTTTTAGACATAACTTTGTAACTGATCTGATATTCGATAATGAGGCGATAATGTGACACGCCCGCTCGTACGGTAACCTAGATTGCACGGTCCTCCTGAACCTTGAAATTTCACTTGTCCCCGGGATTTCCAGCAGTCACCTGCCATGCCCTGCTGACTCGCGAGTTCAATACGGTTCTCGTCCAGCATACCGTAGTTCTCTAGGCCTTCCTGTCCTTTCATTAGCTGCTTCAAACGTTTCGGGACCATGTCATTGTGACGTGCTCGTGGCTGGTCAAGCACGCTCTAGGCTCCCGCTTAGCGCATATATGAGTTTCCTGAATAGTTGCGCACACTCGCCGGCTCGCGCTGAGTGCATTACAATTAGTCAGACGTGTAGCATCTTGCCAGTTTTAGCTTGAAGAAATGGACCAATCAGAGGCGAAAGATGCAGCAGCGACGATCGCGGCACCGGGGACGGCAGGCGGGGACGGTACGGCGACGGATGCGCGAGTCGCTGCAGACGCGAGCAGCTTTGGATTGCCTTTTATTCTGAATTACTGGAAAGGTAGGGATTCTCATAACCACTTCTACGTTGGGTTGACACTGACATTTGGCGCAAGCAGACGAATGCCTTTCATTCTATATTACTGCGAGGTATTGAGATTTCCGGAACCTCACTTCTGTTCGGTTGAAAATGACGTAATAGCTCCAGCAGTGTCGAATTGCCTTTCAATCCAAGTTATGAAGAAGGTCTAATCTCCTCTTTGTTGGATTGACAATGATATAATCGATGCCAGCATCCCTGGATGTATTTTATTTGGAATTTCTGGTAAGGTACTTCCTGCACCGATGGTAAAGCATCAACATTAATGGAAGTGTAAGGTTACCCCCTATGCCTGAATAAAAACCTCCGTGTCCTCTCAGTCTAAGATTTCGACTTGGAGATCGAGCAAGGGCAAGATTGAGCTTCAGGATTCCTGAAAACGCAACCCAACCCCCCCTTCTCCCCCCCTCCCCCCTCTCCGTGTCCTTCTGTCTCGCAGAGTTTGACCTGGAGAACGCGCGGACATCTCTGGATGAGCAAGGGCTGAAGATTGCGGAGAATCAGGAGGCGAGCTCCAAGAATCGCAGAAAGCTGGCAGAGTCAACACGAGGTAGGCTGAAATTGATTAGAATCACCGGAAACTAAGGTTAGTAAGAGCTGTTCGGAGTCTTAAAGCCTATCAGCAGGAGGTGAACGAACTCTCGAAGCACATCCGTCTAGAGGGATATCTCAAGGCAGAAAGTGCCCAATTTCCGTACTATGTGCAGACTTCAAGAAGGCAGCCAGGGAGGAGCAGAGCAAGCTGTTCAGCGCGCTTCAGTAAGCGTATCAGGAGGAGGTGGACAGCCTCACAAGCGCATTGGGATCCCCCAACCTTCCTCCTTTTCTTGTGCTGCAGATTTCAAGAAGGCAGCGAGGGAGGAGCAGAGCAAGCTGTTCGGCGCCCTTCTGAAAGCCTACCAGGAGGAGGTGGACAACCTCACAAAGCGCGCCAAGTTTGCAGAAGCAGCCTTCCTGGGCGTCTACCAGAAGCTGTACGAGGCCCCGGATCCCGTGCCGTCCCTGGCGTCTGCTGCTGTGAGTGCCCGTTGTTGCTGTGGCATGTAGCATGCACATGTTGAGTTGAGCAGCCTTCCTGGGCGTGTACCAGAAGCTTTATGAAGCTCCGGATCCCGTGCCATCCCTGGCGTCTGCTGCTGTGAGTATCCGTTGTTGCAGTTGCTTGTTACATGCACGTGTTGGGTTGGGCAGCCTTTTTGGGTGTGTACCAGAAGCTCTACGAGGCCCCGGATCCCGTGCCGTCCCTGGCGTCTGCTGCTGTGAGTGTCCCTGCTAGTATCTTAGTGCTGTCGTAGCATGAGCATCAATCGAGCAGCCTTCCTAGGCGTCTACCAGAAGCAGTACGAGGCCCTGGATCCCGTGCCATCCCTGGCGTCTGCTGCTGTGAGTGCCCGTTGTTGCTGTGGCATGTAGCATGCACATGTTGAGTTGAGCGGCCTTCCTGGGCGTGTACCAGAAGCAGTACGAGGCCCTGGATCCCGTGCCATCCCTGGCGTCTGCTGCTGTGATTACCCGTGCTGCTGGCATAGCATGAACAAGCTCTCAGTATGACGTGCATATTTAGCTGACTTTCTTGGTGTCTACATGCATTCCTTTGCCACGTCTGCCTCTGCGAGTGTTGATTTCGTTCCATGCATTGAATTTTCCATTCCCACTTTCTTTTATCCCTCCCCACTCTCATCTCAACCCCTTCCCAAACTTTTGCATCTCTCCAGGAGGTGGCAGCGAATGCTGCTGAGCTGGCGGCGGAGAACCGGCGCATGCATGCTGAGCTGGAGGAGTTCCGGTCTGAGTCAGCGCACCTGAAGAACCAGCAGGCGACCGTGCGAAGGTTGGAGGAGAGAAACCGACAGCTGGAGCAGCAGGTGGGTGGGAAAAAAGAGAGGTGGAGCAGGTAGGTGGGAAGGGCAGCTGAAGGGATAGATTGCTGGAGCAGCAGGTGTGTGAGGAAGGTGTTTTTTGCGTCAGCGCACCTCAAAGAATCAGCAGGCGACCGTGCGACGGCTGGAGGAGAGAATCCGACAGCTGGAGCAGCAGGTGCGTGGGAAGGCAGAGGGGGTGGGGAATACATGTGGGTGGGGAAACAGCTGGAGCATCAGGTGGGAGGAGAAAATCAGGTGGGTGGGGAAGCAGGCGGATCAACAGGTCGGTGCAAAAGGAACAGGTGGAGGGACAGGTGAAGCAGCGGGTGGGTGGGAGAGAGCTGCATGCTGCCGTGGTGTCCGTGGTCGCTTGTGTGCATCTGTGGAGTTTTTTTGAGAATTCTCAAAAACACTCTACATCGACAGGTGAAGCAGTGGGTGGGTGGGAGAGAGCTGCATGATGCCGTGGTGTCTGTAGTTGCTTGTGTGCATCTGTGTGACTCTCTTATACTCCATGTGCACGACGTGCATCAGATGGAGGAGAAGGTGAAGGAGATGGTGGCAATGAAGCAGCATGTTCGTTTGAGTCATCTTCAATGTGACTGACTTGTTCTGGTCCTTCGCTGTCTGCCCATTCCTCTGTGTGTGTGTGCATGTGTGCATGTGCAGATGGAGGAGAAGGTGAAGGAGATGGTGGCGATGAAGCAGCATGTGCTGGCGGAGGAGAGCCAACGAAGCATGGAAACACTCAAGTCAAGGCAAGTCAACGCTGGTCAACGGAGGTCAAGGCAGCTCATGGTAGAGGCAATGTCAATGCGGTCAAGTCAGGGTCAACGCAGGGACAAAGGGTCAATGCAAGGGCAAAGACAGGTCAATGCAGGGATGCAACTGGTTTGGAAGCATCAACTTCTTCCCCACACCATCCCACCATCCCTTCCACTCCTGGTTCCCCTCTCTTCCCCCCTCTCTTATTTGTAGGGAGGATGCCCTGCAGGATCAGCTGAGGGCGGCGAGGGAAACAGCAAGCTCACATGTTTTCTTTTACCCCTCGAAGACAGAAGTCATTTGCACGGCGCTATAGAATACCCCCACTCCCGTCCTCCTCCCCCTCTCCCCTGGCAGGGAGGATGCGCTACAGGAGCAGCTGCGGGCCGCAAGAGAGACAGTGAGCAACATGCAGCGGCTGCACGAGATGAGCCAGTCACAGCTGTTCGAGCTCAAGGCGCAGTCAGGTATGCTGAAATTGTCTCCCTTTTGAAAAAGAAGATGTTGCCAGGATTCATGGATTTTCCAGCCAAGGATGGGAGCAAGAGCGCTGTCAGGGATTCAGCAGTTGCGTGCTAGATTCCTTCAGTATTTCAGTTCAGGGTGGTGTGTATGATCTATCACACACGAGGAGCAGCAGTTTAAATGAAACTTAAAGCCTTCAAAGCCCAGCCAGTCAGTCAGTCACTCAGTCAGTCAGTCAGTCCGCTTGGCTCAACTTTCAGTTGCCCAGCATGTCAGCTTTTGCCACCTTTTCCTCCGCCATCCTTCCCATCCCGTACATATTACACGCATATCACGTTTCAGGGCATTTCAAGAGCCGCCTCGTGCCAACAGCGAAATGGCGAATCTTCGTTTTCCTCTCTCTTCCCCTTCCGCTTCCCCTTTGTGCTATGTTTGTGTTCATCAGAGGAGGAGCGCGCATCAAAGCAGGGCGAGTTGAATCTGCTGACAGACGAGGTGGAGCAGTGAGACGTGTAACCCTCCTCCTCCCCCACCCACCCCCTCCTGCACTTCCCTCCACCGCCCCCCATCAGAGGAGGAGCGAGCATCAAAGCAGGGTGAGGTGAATCTGCTGACAGACGAGGTGGAGCGAGCTCAGGCGCGGCTGCTGGCGCTGGAGAGGGAGAAGGTAAGTGTGGGAGAGTGAGAGGAGTGGGGATTTCATTTCACAAGAAGTATGGTGTTTTGGGTGTTGGAGGGAGTGAGGGAGTGAAAGCAGGGCGAGGTTAACCTGCTGACAGACGAGGTGGAGCGAGCTCAGGCACGGCTGCTGGCGCTGGAGAGAGAGAAGGTGAGCGGGGGGTGGGTTGGAAGAATGGGCCTACCACAAGAAGTGTGGTGTTGGGTGTTGGAGGGAGGGAAAGCAGGGTGAGGTGAACCAGCTGACAGATGAGGTGGAGTGAGCACAGGCACGGCTGCTGGCCCTGGAGAGGGAGAAGTTGAGGTGGGAAGATGGGACGTATGCGAAAAGATGGTGGGAGGGAGGGCAGGGAAGAGAGAATGCAATGCAAGAGAGGGAGAGAAGGTGGGAGGGGAAGATGCGTCGAGAGAGGGGAGAGATAGTAACAGTGTGAGAGAGGGAGAATGCAATGGAGGGAGAGAGAGGGTGAGTAGGGGAGAGAGAATGCGGGAGGAAGAGAAATAAGGCGGGTTTGTGAGCGAGAAGTGGTGATACATGGTGCGTGCAGTGCAGTGCAGTGGCTTGCTTGGAGAGGTTATAGGCTACATGGAGAGGTGGAGACATGGAGAGGTGTGCGTGGTGTTGAAGTGCTTGGAGTAAGACTACGCTCGCCTGACATCCCCCTTCCACACATGTCATTCCACCATGTATCATCCCTCCGTGTCACCCCCCCCCAGGAAGCTCTGAAAGCGCAACTGCAGACCGCGCAGCCTAACGAAGCAGCAGGCAATGGAGAGAGGTGAGACGCTGCTGCTGCTGCCACCATCCACTACTGTTTCTGCTGCCACCTCATATGCATTCACATGCACTTGGTTCCATCCTCTGCAAGCGTCTCAAGGCGCAGCTGCAGACTGCACAGCCCAGCGAAGCAGCAGGCAATGGAGACAGGTGAGATGAGATGCTGCTGCGTTTGTTAGCGCCGCTGCTGCTGCTGCCACCTCGTGTGCACTCGTGCCGCTAGTTCACGTGCACTCGTGTTGCTCCCCTCTTGTTCTCTCTATGATCCTCGTCACTCTCTTGTTCGTTATTGTCCTTGTCACTTTGCACCCCTCCCTTGCGTCAGATTACCGTATCATCCCACCCTTACCCTTCACTTACTCCTTGCTCCTTTCCCTTTTTCATGTGCACTCATGCTGCTCGTGCAGTCAGCTTCTCACTCTCTTGTTCTTCATTGCCCTTGCCACGTTGCACCCCTCACGTTGTATCAGCTTACCTTATCATCTCGCCCACACCCCTCCGCCCTCATCCTTCACCCTTCCCCTGCTCCTCTCCCACCCTATGCAGCACGGACAGCAGTGGTGCGGTAGGGTGGGAAGCGGCAGTACGTGCAAAAGAAGCGGTGATAGCATCGCTGCATTAGGAGCTGCACGCTCTGGAGACAGCAGGGGCGGGAGAGATGGTCCCATACCCATACCCTTTATTCTTCTTATCCCTCTTTCCCACTGCAGCACGGACAGCAGTGGGGCGGTAGGGTGGGAAGCGGCAGTACGTGCAAAAGAAGCGGTGATAGCATCGCTGCATCAGGAGCTGCATGCACTGGAGGCAGCAGGGGCGGCTGAGAGGGAGGAGCAGAGGGCGGAGGTGAAGCGACTCAAGGCGCTGCTGCAGGATCAGGTGGGGGTTTGGGCAGATAGTGTGAGGTGGAGTGGGGTAAGTTGCTGTGCCAACTGTTGACAATCAATGCGGGTTGATGGAAGAGAGGGAGAGAGGAGCAGAGGGGGGAGGTTAAGCGACTCAAGGCACTGCTGCAGGATCAGGTGGGAATGATTGGATTTGTGGGCAGAATGAACTGGACTATCTTGGCGTGGTGTGACTCATACTGGTGACTCATACTGGTGACTAGGCCCACACACACTGTCCTCAGACATCTCAACCATTGCTGCAATGGGGCTCCCTCACACATCCCGTCTGACTCGCCCATTTACCAGGAGTCGTCCTTTGCTACGCTAAGGGCGGAACTGGCAACGAGGCCCACACAGAGGCAGTGGGAGGACCTGCGCAAGCAAGTGAAGATCCTGCAGGTGAGGCCTCCTATCCACCGGCTATGATGCACTGGGTTTTGCAAGTTTAGTTTTGAGGCGCCTCAAAACTAGAACTTGCAGGTTAGGGCGTATCCATCCACAGGCTGTGGTGCACTGGGTTTTGCAAGCCTTCTGATCACAAAGGTAGTTCATCAACCCCCCCTTTTTTTTTGTTAACATTCCTTTCAACTACAATGATGTTAAAAATATAAAAACTTCAACAATTCTCCCCTTCCCCTCCCGTTCCCACCCCACATCCACTGTTCCCACCTAGGCTGTGGGCTACAATGCAGTGGAAGTGGACGACTGGGATGAACCGGGCATGTCATCCAACGGTCCAGGATCGTCCTCCGATCTCTCTGCTGCTGCAGATGGGGACAGTGTAAAGGGGGGAGGCGATGGGGGAGTGATGCGCAGCAGCAGTGGAGCTGACATTGGGAAGCTGGAGGCCTTGCTTCTGGAGAAGAACAAGCGAATGGAGCACGAGTTGACCCAAGTCAAGGTCAGTCAGCACGGGTCAATGAACGGTCCCAAGGTCTGTAAACACAGAATAGGCTAGGTCTGGGAATGGGGGTGATGCGCAGCAGCAGTGGGGCTGACGTTGGCAAGCTGGAGGCATTGCTTCTGGAGAAGAACAAGCGAATGGAGCACGAGTTGACCCAAGTCAAGGTGAGTCAACGCTGGTCAATGCAAGTGCTTCTGTGGGAAACGAGGGGAGGTGATGGAGCAGCAGCAGTGGGGCTGACATTGGGAAGCTGGAGGCGCTGCTGCTGGAGAAGAACAAGCGGATGGAGCACGAGTTGACCCAAGTCAAGGTGAGTCAACGCTGGTCAATGCAAGTGCTTCTGTGGGAAACGAGGGGAGGTGATGGAGCAGCAGCAGTGGGGCTGACATTGGGAAGCTGGAGGCGCTGCTGCTGGAGAAGAACAAGCGGATGGAGCACGAGATGACCCAAGTCAAGTTGAGTCAACGCTGGTCAATGCAAGTGCTTCTGTGGGAAACGAGGGGAGGTGATGGAGCAGCAGCAGTGGGGCTGACATTGGGAAGCTGGAGGCGCTGCTGCTGGAGAAGAACAAGCGGATGGAGCACGAGTTGACCCAAGTCAAGGTGAGTCAACGCTGGTCAACACTAGAAGGGCTTCTGTAGTAAACAAGGTGGGAGGGGTGTGGTCCCCAACAGCAGTTGGGCTACTCGCTATCGGCAAGCTGGAAGTTTTGCTTCTGGAGAAGAACAACAAGCGGATGGAGCATGAGTTGACTCAAGTCAAGGTCAGGTCAGGAGTGTGAGAAGGCAAACGCCAAGGCAGCAGCACTGGAAGGTACAGTGGGGGAGCAGAGAGCATTTATAGGCAAACTGGAGGACGACATACAAACGCAAAGCAGGCATTCACAAAGGCCCCGTTTGCATTGGCCTGCGTCCTCTGTTTCCCTTTCCCTCCACCCAAATACACTCCGCTTCCAGATGCGACTGAGTGAGAGGGAGGAGGAGTGTGAAAATGCAAACTCCAAGGTAGCAGCACTGGAAGGGACTGCGACGGAGCAGAGGGCGCTTATAGACAAACTGGAGGACGACATTCTCAAGAAGACCGTTTGCATTGACCTGCTTCCCTCTTCCTGTTTCCCTGCGGGCCTCCCCCTAACACCCCCCCAGATGCGTCTGAGTGAGGAGGAGGAGTGCGATCAAACGAAAGCTAAGTTGGCAGCACTGGAAGGCACAGTGGCAGAGCAGAGAGCGCTGATAGGCAAACTGGAGGACGATATTCCCAAAGGCTGCTTCTTATCGATCCCCTCCCCTCTGATCCTCCCCTCCCTTCTTATCCATCCCCTCACCTCTGATCCTCCCCTCCCTTCTTATCCATCCCCTCCCCTCTGATTTTTTCCTCCCTTCTTATCCTCCCCTCCGCCCTCTTCTAACACCGACGCCACTCCAGATGCGACTGAGTGAGAAAGAGGACGAGTGCGATCACGCGAAAGCTAATATGGTGGCACTGGAAGGGACAGTGGCGGAGCAGAGGGCGCTGATAGGCAAACTAGAGGACGATATTCTCAAGGGCTATGGCGCACGGGACAAGCACCGGGCGACTCGAGGACGACAATTTGAAGGGGACCTTCTTATTGATCCCCTTCCCTCGTTTCCGTCCTCCCTCCTCCCTGTAACAACCCTCCAGATGCGTCTGAGTGAGAGGGAGGAGGAATGTGAGACTGCCAACTCCAAGGTAGCAGCACTAGATACGACCGTTGCAGAGCAGAGGGCGTTGATAGGCAAGCTGGAGGACGACATTCTCAAGGGCTATGGCGCACGGGACAAGCACCGGGCAGCCTCGGTTGGCAGCATTGCCTCGATGCCCGGAGCAGCGGGCGGCAGCGGCAGCGGCAGTGGAGGGGATGGTGGGGGTACAGGTGGCAGCGGCGGATTGGTGGATGATGACTCGGTGCTGATGGTAGTGTGCGGGCAACGGGACAGGTTCCGACAGCGAATGGGAGAATTGGAAGAGGTGAGGGATGGGAGGGGCGGGCGAGTGGGGGGAAGGGAAGGGATGGCGGGGATGGCGGCGAGGGGACGGGGTTGTTGAAAAGCTTGGGGTGGGAGAAGGGGTGTGTGGTTACAACGTGCTCATGGTGGTGTGCGGACAACGGGACAGATTTCGGCAGCGAATGGAAGAGCTGGAAGAGGTGAGGGAAGAGGAAACCACTTCAGGAGGGAGGGAAGGTGATAATATTGGTGGATGGGAATTCGGTGCTCATGGTGGTGTGTGGGTAACGGGACAGGTTCCGACAATGAATGGGAGAGTTGGAAGAGGTTAGTGAGGACAGGGCAGGGAAAGAGAGGGAAGGGAAAGGGAGGGCCGTCTTTGTGATTGCTGTCATTAAACCCTTGATATTCATATAAATGAGATGGTATGTTTTTTCGTATAGAACCATATTCGCCTCTGTATCCCTTATTGAGCAACTGCGGGCAGAGAGAGAGTGGAGTGGCAAGTTGGCAAAGACGCACGATACCCTCTAGATTCTCTTGTCACCCCTCTGAATCCTCCTGTCGCCTCTCTAATTTCTCCTGTCGCCCCTCTTGCTCTAATGCTGCCAGGAGCTGAGAGCAGAGAGGGAGAGGAGCGGCAAGTTAGCAGCAGAGGTGGAGCGGTTGAAAGCAGACAGTGTTTGGGTACAACACCCAAAATCATGGTGGTGACAACTTTGAACACACTCTGAATATCCATGCCACTTCTCTTACTCCTCCTTACCACCCCTCGTGCTCTTATGCTGACAGGAACTGCGTGCGGAGAGGGAGAGGAGCAGCAAGTTAGCAGCAGAGGTGGAGCGATTGAAAGCAGACAACGTGAAGCTGTATGAGCGCATGCGCTACGTGCAGGACTACACGAGTGCAGGGGGAGGGGGCGACAGGCCGAACAATAGTCGATCCAGGAAGGTGTGTGCGTTGTACCTGTCCCCCTACCTGGTTAGACTGGTCTCTGGTACAGTGGAAGCAGACAACGTGAAGCTGTATGAGCGCATGCGATATGTGCAGGAATACACGAGCGCTGGGGGAGGGGACAGGCCCAACTCCAGTCGATCCAGAAAGGTATGTGCAGCCTGAGGGAACCGCTGTCTCCCTGTAAGGCTTGACTGGTCTCTGGTACGGTGACAGCAGTCAACGGTAAGCTGTATGAGTGCATGCGCTTTGTGCAGGACTACACGAGCGCTGGGGGAGGGGGAGGAGACAGGTCAAATGCTAGTTGATCGCGAAAGGTATATGTGAGCAGTGTATTCTTCTTCATCTGGGGCTATTACTGGTGGAAAGCGGACAACGTGAAGTTGACTGCCGATGTGGAGAGCAAGTACAAGAAGATCTATGGGGAGAGACAATCAAGTCATTCCTTCACCGCCCAACTCCCTCCATCTCCCATCCTCCCGCTTCCGCTCGCCATCAAAGCAGAGTGACATAGAGGCTGGTCCAGCTGCCGATGTGGAGAGCAAGTACAAGAAGATCTATGAGAAGATACCATTAACCCCTTTCTTCACCGCTCAGCTTCCATCCTACTCCCTGCCTCCGCCACTCCTCTTGCCATCCGCATGATGATATTACAGTGACATGGAGGCAGGTCCAGTCCAGCTGCCGATGTGGAGAGCAAGTACAGGAAGATCTATGAGGAGACCGTTAACCCCTTTGCTGCATAATGCATTCTCCCATCCTTGTCATCCTGCACTCACCTGCCCGTCCTTTCCCCCCACCCCTCTCCGTTTCGCATCAGAGTGACATAGAGGCAGGTCCAGCAGCGGACGTGGAGAGCAAGTACAAGAAGATATACGAGGAGACAATCAACCCCTTTGCTGCCTTCTCCACTAAGGTGCACTACCAACATCCGCTGCCTGTTCGCTTATGCAAGTCATTTGATCAAAAGGATGCAGGAATGTGCTGCTGCTTCTGCTGCTGCTGCTGCTGCTGCTGCTGCCTAGAGTTGCTCGTTCTGTGAGTTTCTGCCTTCTCATTGTGTCCGCTGGGTTGTCATGATAACCTTTTATCTGCGGCTTATCTCACCATCTCAACGTGTGCCCTGTTCTGCATGTTATCCCTATGCTGCTTCTCTGTGGATGCATTGTGAACAGGAGAGGGAGCAGCGGGTGAGAGACCTGGGTCTGCGAGACAGAATCACTCTCACCAGTGGCAAATTCCTCCTCTCCAACAAGTCAGTCACTCATCTCATCCCGTTCAATCCCTCATCTCATTCTCGTCGTCCTTCTTCCTCTTCCCTGTCTTCATGCGAACAACCCTTGCCAGCTTCACCTCTCAAACCTTATGCCACAATCTACTCCGCGTGTGTACCTCTCTCCACGTTTATCGTGTAACACCTATGTGTCTACTTCTTCCAAAATGCACAATGAAGAATCACTTTTTTTGTCCTCCCTTGCGCTCTCGCAAGTATGCGCGCACGAGTTTGTGCGTGTGTGTGTGTTTGTGCGTCTCCAACTGATGCTGTGTGTGTTTCTTTGTTACCTATTTATTTCTTTCTTTCTTCTGTCTCAACTTCCATGGAAAAATAACTTTTCTCTTCCCTCCCCTGTGTTCGCTCCCAGGTACGCGCGCACGTTTGTCTTCTTCTACTCCATCGGCCTGCACATCCTCGTGGCTCTCAGCATGTATCGACTCTCCAGCCTCAGCCATGCCAGGTCAGCATGCTTGCATGGTTGCATGCTTGCATGGTGGCATGGTTGCATGATAAATTCATGCATTCACACCACATGCATGCCCTCGTGGCTGTTACCATGTTACCATGTACTGCCTCTCCAGCCTCAGCCACGGCAGGTCAACATCCTTGCATGCTTGCATGAACGCATTATGATTCATGCATACATGTCACATGCACATACCGCCTCTCCAGCCTCAACCATGCCAGGTGGCCATGCAGGCATAGATGCCTGATTTCAAGAGCTGGCACGTTTGCATGCTTGGGCATGCTTTCTTTCCTTCCTGGCCTTGGGAGTATACATGAGGTTAGGACTTTAAGGGTTTTAAGTATGCCTCACGGTTTGACACCCCTTCTGTATCCCCTCCGCTTTGGGTTTCAGGATAAAGTTTGACGAGGCTGAGCTTCCATCGAAACACTCGCTATTGACTGCTGCGCTAAGGTCACGCAATGCCACATTCAGCGGTGGTCATTCGTCTGGTTGAAATGAGAAGGAATGAAATCCTGTGTGATGTACAATGGATGTATGTACATTACGTTGCTTTTCTCACCAAGTCCAATATCATATGCTGTGTTATCCTTGGCTATAAGAATGCTTTGTACACTGCTCTCACCCCGGAGTGCAAACCAAAGTTTTTGGCATACCAGAGTAAACACCTGTATGTCCCGACGCTTCAAACCTTCAGTGGTGTTGCAGCGGAGCACCTTCGAAGTACGTCATTCGGCAAACTGGAAAAGGAATAGGTCTGTAGGAGTCAAATCAGATCAGGTCGGGTGAGATCTGGTTGGGTCAGATTGAGTGGGATTCGTGAGCATATACGCAGCGTGATTGTTTTCATGTGAGGCCGCGATTGAATTCAACCATTCATTGCAAGCTGCTTTTCATGTCTCGATTGATGGATATATGACCAGATAGCCTTGCAGTACAAATCCGTCACTAGTCGGCATGAGAGCTGAGCTTAGAGCAATCGAGCGAACTAGGTTTTTGAATCGAGTTATTTTGTGATATTTCAGAGCAGTGCGTTTCCCTCGGAAAAGAGCAGGATTTCCTGTCAGTGCGTACAGTACGTTCCTGTCAGTTGAGTACGTTCTCTAGGTCCGAAGCGGGGAGACTCTGAGATGGATAGCAGCGATCATGAGCCTGTATTGAAGGGGAGCGAGTGCAACGACCATGTGCTTGTACCGAGGCAGAGTGAGGGCAGCGACCATGTGCTTGTATTGAAGCACGTGCCGGCGACGGCGAGCCAGGAAGTGCTGGATCGGCTGCTGCAGCGGTTCGGAGCGGTGGAAGTGGTTAACAGGTGAATGGATAGCTAGAGTGCGCGTGATTAGCAGATAATAGGTTAGCTAGGAGGTGGGGGTTAGCAGGGGAGGGGAGTGACTGAGGTCAACACGCGGTTTCCGCGTTCGGTAACTTTCCCCTCCACACAGTTTCCGCTTTCTCTCTTGCTTGCCTCGTCCCCACCAGGAGCAAGGGAGTGGTATATGCGCGATTCAAGGCGCGAAGTGCGGCACTTACAGCCAAGAAGCAACTACACGGGTAAGCTTTCTGCTCGTTTGCACACCCTTGCTCGCGTGAAGGGTTTAGAACACACATGAAGGCGCTTCGTACCTCCTTTTTGTTTTCGTACAGTCACTATTTGCCACTCTCCCCCTCTGTCTGTCTCTCTTCCCCCAACAGCATTCGCATGGGTAGCAACGTTCTATCAGCTCACTACTTCCCCCCCGCTCATTCCGCCAACCACAATGAACCGCACACCACACCTGGCAACCCTGCTTGTGCTGCTGCTCCCACCCTTGCCTCCACTGCTGTTGCTACTGACGCCAACTCGGGTGGTCATGATTCAACCTCTCAACAGCAAGAAGCACGCCTCAAGTTACCACAGTCGTCTCCACAGCAGCAGTCCCCTTCAGCATCACCATCGTTCCACCATCAGCCACCTCTTACAGACCCGTCTCTCCAACGCCTGCTGCTCGCGCTCACGGCTTTCAGCGAGCAAGAGCAGCAGCTGGTACCACAAAGGCGTGAAGGGGAATCAGCAGCAGCAGCAGCAGCAGCGGGGCAGGATGAATTAATTGTGAGAGAGGATACGATGGGCCAAGCGAAGGGCATGACAGGTGCAGAGGAGGAAGCAGTGAGGCACCAGCAGGGATTGGGGCCTGAAGGGAAGGAGGGAGGGGAAGAGAGACTGGACGAGGCTCCGTTGCTTATCAGGGAGGTGCAAGCAGAACGGGGAGGACATTCAGCAGCGGGCGTGGAGAGGGAAAGTTGCGTGGAGGAAGGGCGCTACTATCCTTTTCCTCCCCCACAATTTAGGTTTGTGACAGACGTCCTCTCCCCACCTTCCCCCTTTTTGCACATGCCCTCCTCGTCACGCAACCCTGGCATGTGCTGCAGCCTTTGCTTCATGGAGACGTCTCCCCTTCGTCATGTGAACTTTCAAGAATTCTCAAACGCTACCACTTGCCGTTCTTTCCCCGCCCTCCGCCCTTTTTCTCCATTTGATATACCCCTTTCATAACAGGTACGCCTACCCCCCTCCCTCTGCTGCCACCATCATCAACATTGCTCTTGCACTCATTGCCACACCACGCCTCTACACGCAGGTAGGCTGGGTGATCACGTCATTCCTGCCCATACACGCGCATAGGCTGGGTTGAGCCGCCATCTGATGAACAAGGCAAATGAGCCCGCTTCCATTATCTTGGCTCAACAAGCTTTGAGACTTAATATCACTCCATACCTCCCTTCCTCTCTCTGTCCTCTCCCCCTCCCTCGCCACCCCCCAGGTGCTCCATCTGATGAACCATGTGAGCCTGCCTCCCCCATTTCTGACTTGACATGATTCAGTATCACCCCCTACCTCCCCCCCTCTCCCTATACCATCCTCCCTCCCTCCTATTCGCCCCCATAGGTGCTGCATCTGATAAACAAGATGAGTCTGCCTGTTCCCTTTGGCCCGGTCATCCTACCCCCGTCCTTGCAGCCAGCACTGCATTCCACCGCACTGCACCCCACTGCACTGCAGCCGTCTCCACAACCTCCATGCCCAAGCAACGCACCACCACAACAGCCTAACCCTTGCAAACCACCACCCCCTGCCTCCCTCCCAACCTCCTGCCAAGGCCCAACAACCGCTTCAGACCACCCACCTTTTTCTCAATCATTTCAACCACCCCAACCACCCCAACTACCCCAACCGCCCCAACCACCCCAACCACCCCAACCGGCCCAACCGTCCCATTTATCTCACCCACCCCAGCCAACCGAACCACCCCGACCACCTCACTTATCTCACCCATCTCACCCACCCCAGTGGGCCCCACCCCACCCACCGACCAGTCGCCCTGCTCTCGCTCGCTTGCCTCCCCATCCCTCCTTTGCCCAGAGACCCCCCTCCCTCGCACCTCTTCCTCCCCATCCTCCACCTTTCCGTCACCCTACCCCGTTCTCTTCTACTCCCTTCTATCCTGCGCTTTCCCCCTTCCCTCCACCGGCCATGCACCGTCCACACCCCTCTCCCTATCATGCCCCCTCTTCCTCTCATGCCCCCTCTCCCTCTCATGCCCACGCTCCCTCTCTCGCCCCTCCTCCTTCTCAATCCGCATCCACCTCATCCCATGCAAGTCCAGTTTCACTTCAAAGCACCATCCCACCCTCCACCGCTGCCACTGCCCCTCCCTCCTCCTTCCTCCCTGCCACGAGCCCCCTTGAGACGCCCTCACAGCCCCTCAGAGCACCAGCAGCAGCAGCAGCAGCAGCAGCAGAAGCACCAGCAGCAGCAGCAGCAGCAGCAGCACCGCCACCACCTTCCACCCCATCCAATGAAAGTCCTGGGTTGCCTCAAAGCATCGCCACAGCGAGCCTCATTCCTGCACGGTTAGAGTCCTCACAGCCCCTCAAGGCACAGTCGCCCATACCAGCAGCACCACCAGCAACAGCAACAGCAGCAGCACCACCTTCCACCCCATTTATTGCCAGTCCTGTGATGCCTCAAAGCACAGCCACTGCAAGCTCTATTCCTGCACTCCTAGATCCCTCACAACCCCTCAGGGCACAGTCGCCCGTACCAGCAGCACCACCAGCAGCACCACCACGACCTTCCACCCCATTTGATGCCAGTCCCGGGATGCCTCGAAGCATCCTCACAGCCTCGAGGCCTCAAAGCACAGCCGCGGCAGGCTCCATTCCTGCACAGTTAGAGTCCGGTGTGGGCGGTGTGAGCAGTAGGAGAGATGGGGGAGGGGGTGCTGTATTTCTGAAAGCAAGGGCAAAGGGAGAGAGGGGTGAGGTGGAGGAGGAAGAAGAGGAGGAGGAGGGAGGGGAGGGGGGTGAGTGGGAGGAGGGAGAGGAGAAGAGGCTTGAGAGTGCTGGAGTACGAAGGGTGGTGGTTGGAAATGGGGGAGGGGTGGCGGGACGGACAATGTTAATGGTGAAGAAAAGGGCGCCTGTTTTGCAGGTAAATTCCTTGCTCTTCTGTTCTTTCTTTCTTTCTTTCTTTCTTTCTTTCTTTCTTTCTTTCTTTCTTTCTTTCTTTCTTTCTTTCTTTCTTTCTTTCCTTTTCTTTTCATTTTTCTTCATGTTTTTTCCTTGTTCTTCTCCTTTCAGCGTTTTGTCGCGTGCTGTCCTTTATCTTTGTCCTTAGATCCAGCTTCTCCCATAGAGAATGAAGAAGCCACGAGCAAGATAGTTGTGAGACGTCTCAAAACTAGATCACTCTCACACAAACTTCATATTGAGAGAATGCTTCCTGTCCTGTGTCTCTGTCCTTAGATCCAGCTTCGCCCAGAGAAAATGAAGAAGCCACGAGCAAGGTAGTTGTGAGACGTCTCAAAACTAGGTCACTCTCACACGGACTTCATATTGAGATAATGTTTCCTGTCCTTTGTCTCTGTCCTTAGATCCAGCTTCGCCCAGAGAAAATGAAGAAGCCACGAGCAAGGTAGTTGTGACACGTCTCAAAACTAGGTCACTCTCACACGGACTTCATATTGAGAGAATGTTTCCTGTCCTGTGTCTCTGTCCTTAGATCCAGCTTCGCCCAGAGAAAATGAAGAAGCCACGAGCAAGGTAGTTGTGAGACGTCTCAAAACTAGGTCACTCTCACACGGACTTCATATTGAGAGAATGTTTCCTGTCCTGTGTCTCTGTCCTTAGATCCAGCTTCGCCCAGAGAAAATGAAGAAGCCACGAGCAAGGTTGTTGTGAGACGTCTCAAAACTAGGTCACTCTCACACGGACTTCATATTGAGAGAATGTTTCCTGTCCTGTGTCTCTGTCCTTAGATCCAGCTTCGCCCAGAGAAAATGAAGAAGCCACGAGCAAGGTAGTTGTGAGACGTCTCAAAACTAGGTCACTCTCACACGGACTTCATATTGAGAGAATGTTTCCTGTCCTTTGTCTCTGTCCTTAGATCCAGCTTCGCCCAGAGAAAATGAAGAAGCCACGAGCAAGGTAGTTGTGAGACGTCTCAAAACTAGGTCACTCTCACACTGACTTCATATTGAGAGAATGTTTCCTGTCCTGTGTCTCTGTCCTTAGATCCAGCTTCGCCCAGAGAAAATGAAGAAGCCACAAGCAAGGTAGTTGTGAGACGTCTCAAAACTAGGTCACTCTCACACGGACTTCATATTGAGAGAATGTTTCCTGTCCTGTGTCTCTGTCCTTAGATCCAGCTTCGCCCAGAGAAAATGAAGAAGCCACGAGCAAGGTAGTTGTGAGACGTCTCAAAACTAGGTCACTCTCACACGGACTTCATATTGAGAGAATGTTTCCTGTCCTGTGTCTCTGTCCTTAGATCCAGCTTCGCCCAGAGAAAATGAAGAAGCCACGAGCAAGGTAGTTGTGAGACGTCTCAAAACTAGGTCACTCTCACACGGACTTCATATTGAGAGAATGTTTCCTGTCCTGTGTCTCTGTCCTTAAATCCAGCTTCGCCCAGAGAAAATGAAGAAGCCACGAGCAAGGTAGTTGTGAGACGTCTCAAAACTAGGTCACTCTCACACGGACTTCATATTGAGAGAATGTTTCCTGTCCTTAGATCCAGCTTCGCCCAGAGAAAATGAAGAAGCCACGAGCACGGCTGGAGCACGAGACAGGAGCGGTAGAAAGCAATTCTGTGGTGAAATTGACAGGCCAGGAGAATGCGATGACCGTGGGCGGACAGAAGGAGAGCGATGCAGTGGCAGAATGGGAGGCAGAGGGGCAAGACGTGGTGGGGGGGAGGCGACAGGATGGAGGTGGTTCTGGGGGGAAAGGAGGAAGGTGTACGGATGGGCACAAGGATAGGCGGGCAACTGACGCAGAGGAACAAGCGGCGACGGCTGAGGAGGGCGACGTGGGAGGAGGAGAGAGGAATAAAGTGGGGGAGAAGGGCGGTGGAAGAGAAATGACAGGGACATGCAGTTTGGCGGATGGAGGCAATGTTGTGGAGAAGGGGAGAGAGGGAAGGACTTTTGAGGTGCCTAGTAAATGCAGTTTGGCGGATGGGGGCAATGTTGTGGAGAAGTTTGGAGAGGAGAGGCGTGAGGAGGGTTTGAGAGTGGTGAGGGATGGGGAGGGTTTGAGAGAGGCGGGGGTTGAGGGGAGGGCTACTAAGGAGGAGTTGAGGCGGCAGCAGCTGGCGAGGGAGCAGTTACTGGAGTGCCCAGCGTATAGGGTGAGAACCAAAAGCGAGTGTGATAGTGTGCTGCGTATAAGGTGAGAATGCAAAGACAAGAGGCTATGTGCAAGTGCCCAGTGCAGGTTGTTAAGAAGGCGCACCTGGTTTTCCTCGAACAGTCAGCACAGGTTTCCATATTTCCTCCAAGAGGTCAAGTCATGAAGATGTGATCGTTTAGGCATTTCAAAAAAGTTCTGCCTCGATCTGTCAAATTTTCTTCTAGAGTTTTGGCGTGTGTGTGACCTGCATGTTTAGGCATTGCTAAGCTCGCGCTCAAACGAGTGATCTGTGCTTCATACTTGAATCCATATGTGTGGGTGCGTGTGTGCATCTGTGTGCATGTATGCACACGTGTGTGTGCGTCCGCGTGCCCTCATGCATATCTATGCACATGTGAGTGAGTGCAGAACTACAAGAGAGGCGAGCCCTCCTCCACTTTGTACATAAAGAACATTGCCAAGCCCGTCACCACCACCGACTTGCTCCATATCTTCGGTTAGTCACTGGGTGTACTCAGTCAGTCAGTCAGTCAGTCAGTCAGTCAGTCAGTCAGTCAGTCAGTCAGTCAGTCAGTCAGTCAGTCAGTCAGTCAGTCAGTCAGTCAGCCAGCCAGCCAGCCAGCCAGCCAGCCAGCCAGCCAGCCAGCCAGCCAGCCAGCCAGCCAGCCAGCCAGCCAGCCAGCCAGCCAGCCAGCCAGCCAGCCAGCCAGCCAGCCAGCCAGCCAGCCAGCCAGCCAGCCAGCCAGCCAGCCAGCCAGCCAGCCAGCCAGCCAGCCAGCCAGCCAGCCAGCCAGCCAGCCAGCCAGCCAGCCAGCCAGCCAGCCAGCCAGCCAGCCAGCCAGCCAGCCAGCCAGTCAGTCAGTCAGTCAGTCAGTCAGTCAGTCAGTCAGTCAGTCAGTCAGTCAGTCAGTCAGTCCGTCCGTCGGTCAGTCGGTCAGTCCGTCGGTCGGTCAGTCCGTCGGTCAGTCGGTCCATCAGTCCGTCGGTCAGTCAGTCAGTCAGTCAGTGAACACCTCTTTTGGTATGTCTATTGAACTTTAAACTAACCCATTTCAGCTGTGAAAGCCCTTTCATTAAACTAATCTACCACGTTGACCTGCCATGCATCTTCTTCTCTGTTCTTCCCATCCCCCCCTCCCCCTCCCCCTCCCCCTCCCCCTCCCCCTCACCCGTCCATGCCACGTTGGGTCACCAGGAGCATTCTTTCCGGGCGACTCCGACTGGAAGTCCAAGATTGGAGTTCGGCTCATGCAGGTATGGTATGCTATTCTCTCTGGTGGAGGCTTATTACAGTTCAAGCCCAATCGATTACATCTACTGTTATTCTCTTACAAATCCCTCCCTGGCATTCCATGTGCTCCACTGCACCATTGACCCGCTTCTGCCTTCTTCCCGTAACATGCCTCTGTCGTGCACTTACGTTTATGTTTATCTCGCATTCTGAATTCTATGTAATGATGTGTGGATATGGATGGTCCCTCTGATAGGAAGGTCGGATGAAGGGCCAAGCATTTGTCACACTTCCAACTCCAGAGCTTGCTTCAGAAGCAATGGTAAGTCATGCTAACATACTGGTACCTTAGTCGACTTTTGAGGCGCATCAAAAGCAGAAGCATTGGTAAGACACCGTTACGTACCAGTAAAAGTCCAGGCCGCAGCACATTTACATGTTTTATTTCTGGAGTGTGGACAATTGAGGGCATGGGTGGTTGATTGACCCTTTTTCAATATTACGTCTTGTTGTTATCGATATTCACCTTTTGCAGGATGCCACGCTTGGAATTGTGTTGCACAGGAAACCTATTATTGTGCAATTTGGCCGAAAATAAGTTGACTTCCTTCTTATCTACCGCGGCTAAAGATATGAAATATTATACCTTGCTAATCCATATTGCTTGCAAGAATTCCATAGCTTTGCACACTCAACATCGGAGTCACTAAAGCGGGATTTCTGAACTTATTAGCTCGTGAGGGGCGCCATTTCCGCCATCCCCGTCAAGTCGCAAAGCTGCAGCGGTAGCCACAACCGCACTTCATAACTCCAATATTAATGAAGTTAGCATATGCCCTCTTTACCCTCGTGACGAACGAAATATAGCGAATCGCAGCGTTTTACACTTCGTCCCCACCGCCCCCTTCCCCATTTCCTCCCGCAAATGGCGGCCGTAGCCGCCGCCAACCCATCCGCCGCGGCAATTGCGCCGCCGTCAGCGTCGGCGCCGCCGGCGGCGGGGGAGGCGGCGGAGAGCGTGCGGCAGTTTCGGCTGGAGCGCGAGACGGAGCTGCGCGTCGAGGTGGAGTGGGACGCGAAGCTAACGGTGAAGCTTGTATCGGGTACGGCGGAGATCTTCGGGTCCGAGATCGCGGTCGGGCAAAACGTCACCTTTGACGGCGGGGAGAAGTTCGCGGTGCGTGGGGTGGGGGGCAGGCGGGGGGGGCGGGCGGGGGTTGTGTGGGGGGAGAGAGAGGGGGGAGGCACGCGGGCGGAGGGCGGCGGGCGAGGCGTGTTCGGGAGGGAATGGGGGAAAGAGGAGAATATGAGGAAGGTGGGGAAAGGGTGGGGGGCGACGGCTATGCTTGTATCGGGTACGGCGGAGATCTTCGGGTCGGAGATCGCGGTCGGGCAAAACGTCACCTTCGACGGTGGGGAGAAATTCGCGGTGCGTGGGTGCGCAGGGGGAGAGCGGGCGGGCGGGCGGGGGGGGAGGGTGGGCGGGCGGGGGCGCGCGGGGCGAGGGCGGAGGGCGGGGGGGGGACGGCGCGGAGATCTTCGGGTCCTAGATCGCGTTTTTGAGACGTCTCAAAAACAACCTCATTTCACGTGATCGCGGTCGGACAAAACGTCACCTTCAACGGCGGAGAGAAATTCGCGGTGGGTGGGTGCGCAGGGGGAGAGCGGGCGGGCGGGCGAGGCGGGCGGGCAGATGCGGGGACGGAGGGTGGAGGGCGGAAGGTGGAGGGCGGAGGGGGGAGGGGGGCGGAGGGCGGGGAGTGTTGGAAAAAAGGGGGCGTAAGTGAAGAGTATGAGGAAGGTGGGGGAGGGGGCGACAGGAAAAATGAAACAAGAAAACTGGGGGATCAGGGGAACTGGGGGTATGGGGAAACCAGGGAATGGGGGAACTGGGGGAACCAGGGAACGGGGGAACGAGGGAATGGGGGCTGTTTAGTTTTGCCTTAACCCTCTCTCGCACGCTCTCCCTTTTTGGTATGCTTCCCCCCTCGTCTCCAGGTGTTCACCTGGCATGGGTGCAGTCTGGAGGTGCGGGGGATGGGTTGGGTGTTCACCCTTCTCCCCTCTTCCCCTCGCCTTCCCTGCTCCCCCTCTCTTCTCCAGGTGTTCACCTGGCACGGGTGCAGTCTGGAGGTGCGCGGGTCGCCAACACTGCCGGATGCCATGTATGCTGCTGATGAGGTAGGCGGTAGGCGGTGGGGAGAAGGTGGGGGTGGAAGAGAATTGTGGGGAGAATGTAGGGTCGCACGTATGTGTGTGTGTTGTCTCTGGGTCGCCTACACTGCCCGATGCCATGTATGCTGCTGATGAGGTGGGCGGTGAGGGGCGCTGGATACGTGAGTGCGTGAGAGTGAATGTGAGTGGGAGTGTGAGTGTGCGTGTCAGTGTGCGTGTGCGTGTGTGTGTGAGTGTGTGTTTTTGAGTGTGTAACAGCAACTCCTGCTATTTTCCCACAAACCCCTGCTGTTCCCCAACCCCCACTCTCCTCCACGCCCCAGACCCCCATGGTGAGCTACCTCAATCTCCATGCAGTGCTGAACGTGCAGCAAAGAGCCTCATGTGCACTCACTGCTGCACTCACTGCTGCACTCACTGCTGCACTCACTGCTGCACTCACTGCTGCACTCACTGCTGCACTCACTGCTGCACTCACCCTGACTGCTGTTTCCCTCCTTACCCCTTTACTCCATTCCCCCTTCCCCACTCCCCTCGCCCCAGACCCCCATGGTGAGCTACCTCAATCTTCATGCAGTGCTGAACGTGAGGCGAGTGGAGGCAGCTAGGACCCTCATGCCCTTCTACCACTCTGCTGTTTTCCCCCTTTACCTCCCCTTCCCCACTCCCCATCACCCACTTCCCACCCCCACTCCTCAGACCCCCATGGTGAGCCGTCTGAATCTTCATGCGGTGCTGAACGTGCAACGGGTGGAGGCAGCTAGGCGCAGCCCCTCATGCCCCCCTACCACACCACCTTGCCACTTTTCCCTCTTAACCCAAATCCCCACTCCTCAGGCCCCCATGGTGAGCCGTCTGTATCTCCACGCGGTGCTGAACGTGCGGCGAGTGGAGGCAGCTAGGAGCCTCATGCCCCCCTACCCCCGTGTCTTTTCCCCCTTGTAACCCTGAATCCCACTCTTCATGCCCAGACCCCCATGGTGAGCTATTTGAACCTCCATGCAGTGCTGAACGTGCGGCGAGTGGAGGCAGCTAGAAGCCTCATGCGCGCCAAGCAGCAACTGGCGCAGCTGCAGCAGCAGCAGCAACAGCAGCTGCAGTATCAGCATCAGCAACGGCAGCATCAGCAGCACCCGCATCAGCAGCAGCAGTATCAGCACCAGCTGCAGCGGTTGCAGCGGCACAAGCAGCAGCTGGAGAACAAGATCAACTCCCTCGTTCTCACCAAGGTGATTCAAAGATACTGCCTCAATTCTTGATTCAACACACGGCCGTCTCATTTCTTGAGGCAGATAACAAAGCAGCAGCTAGAGAACAACATTAACTCGCTCGTTCTCACCAAGGTAGTTTCCCGTGCACCTCTCACTACCTTTCACTACCTCTCACTGCACTCTCGCTCTCTCTAGCTTTCGTGCCCCTATCCTATCCCCCCCCCCAAGTGCCCCGAGTGCTGTTAGTCGGTCCCAGCACGTATGTAGATGTGCTGGGCGGCCAGGCAGGCAGCAGTGGCACCCCACCTATGGGTACTTAAACATGGCTCACAGCAGTGCCCTCCCGCCCTTTCAGGTGGCAAGGGTGCTGCTAGTGGGTCCCACAGACAGTGGGAAATTCACACTAGCCAGAATGTTGCTGTGCTGGACGGCCAGGCAGCAGTGACACCCCACATACATCGACTTAGACGCGGCTCACAGCACTGTGACTGTGCCTCCCGTGTTCCCTCTCGCCCTCTCCCTATCTCCTCTTCCTCTCTCCCCCGTTCAGGTGCCCAGGGTCCTTCTAGTTGGGCCAACCGACTCAGGAAAATCAACGCTAGCCAGAATGCTGCTGTGTTGGGCGGCCAGGCAGCAGTGGCACCCCACCTATGTCGACCTAGACGTGGCTCACAGCAGTGTGACTGTACCGGGGGCTGTGGCCGCCACGCCAGTGGAAGCACCACTGGAAGCCAATGCCAGAGCTGTGGAGGAAGCACCCTTGGTGCTCTTTTACGGCCACACCAACCCCAGGTGAGAAATGGTCTTGAAGTGAGGGACGGGAAGCAGAAGCAGGGGCAGGGTGGGTGGCTCACAGCAGTGTGACAGTACCGGGAGCTGTGGCAGCCACGCCAGTGGAAGCACCGTTAGAAGCAAATGCTAGGACGGTGGAGGAGGCACCTCTGGTGCTGTTCTATGGCCACATTAACCCCAGGTGCGCAGTGTGTGAGACAGTTACACAAGAGCAAGGTAAGGTACCTAGGGGCATCCCACGTACGTGGATCTAGACGTGGCTCACAGCAGTGTCACTGTGCCCAGAGGCTGTGGCCGCCACTCCAGTGGAAGCACAGTGACACTGCTGTGAGCCACGTCTAGATCCACATAGGTGGGGCGCCCCTAGGTACCTTGCTGTGCGTGTCTGTGCATGCAGGGGGCGGGTATTGACGGGGGTAGGCATTGACGTCACCTGTATAGAGTCCTAGTGTCGGCACTGGCAGAGGCAGCAGAGATTCGAATGCAAGCAACATCTGAGCTTACTAGAGTTCGCATCCTCTTCCCCCCCTTTACCCCTGTTTTCCCCTTACCAGTGCAAACCTTGACCTATACTGCGCACTGGTGGCGGCATTGGCAGAGGCAACAGACAGGAAGTTGAGTAAGAAGTATGGTTAATCTTAGTATAAACACTTACTTCTCCTCGTTTTTCTCCCTACCAGTGCGAGCCTTGACCTGTACCGCGCACTGGTGACGGCACTGGCAGAGGCAACAGGCAGGCGACTGCGCATGCAGGCCACGTTTGAGCGCACTCGATTCTTCTCCCCTTCTACCCCTGCGTTTCCCCTTAACAGTGCCAACCTTGACCTATATCGTGCTTTAGTGACAGCACTGGCAGATGCAACAGACAGGCGACTGGGCATCACTCCCTTAGGCGAGAGAGGAGGAGGGGGAGGGGAGGAAGGGGGAGGGGATGGGGAGAAAGGAGGAGCAGGAGCAGGGAGGGAGGGAGGAGGGGCGGCAGCGATAGGAGCGGTTCCAGTGGAGGCAGCAGCAGCGGGGATCATTGCTAACAGCATGGGATGGGTTGATGGGGCCGGTTACCAGGTATGGTACTGGTTATCATGCTAGTGGTCTACGGTCGTTACCAATTCCACCTTGTTCTTCCCTTACTGTTTGCCGTCCACTTTTGAAGGTCTGTTTCTCATACTCATCCCAATGTTAGTATGCACGCCCTGAACCAGACCAACGGTTCTCGCTTTTCTTTCTTTCTTTCTTTCTTTCTTTTTTTCTTTTCTTTTCTTTTCTTTTCTTTTGCTTTCTCACCCGTTTCTCCTCGTTGCCTCTGCAGCTACTGCTTCACTCCATTGATGCCCTACGGGCGAACGTGGTGCTTGTGCTGGGGCAGGAACGTCTCTACAGCATGCTCTCGGAGCACTATAGAAGCAAAGCAGCAGCAGCTGCTACTGACGGTACCGCTGCCAGCAGCAGCAGCCATGCAGCAGCAGTGGAGGTGGTGAAGCTTGTGCGATCCGGAGGTGCCGTGTCCCGTGCTTCCAAGTTCAGGCAGCGACTGCGACAAGCAGTCATCAAGGTAAGAAGCAATTTGAACTGTACGTGGAAACAGACTTTCTTCGGGTTCTAATTATGTGGTAACCAGCCCGGCACACCAGATCTGAAACCTCTTTTTCTGCTGTTTTTTTCTCCTCCTTGAAACCTCTTTTTTCTCATGCATCAGGCGTATTTCTACGGGCCCGAGCGGCAATTCTCGCCTCATTCGAGCACGGCCAGCTGGTCAGATTACACGGTGCTGAGAGTAGGGGGAGGGCCACAGGCACCACAGTCGGCACTACCCATTGGAGCAGCGAGGGTTTCAGACCCGCTTCGCACTGCCCCGGTGGTTCTGTCACGGGAGCTGGAGCATCACGTGCTGGCAGTTTCACATGCCAAGGAGGAGAAGGACGCCGTTACTGGGTGAGATTCCTGTGGCCATGTGGTTTCTGTACTGCTCGTTTGGGTTGAGAGTGCTGGTGTATTCTGCGTTGATCGATTGTTGGCTGGCTGTGCTATCCGGCGGTCATTGCATCGCAAGTGTTCGACGTGCTTTGATCGCTTTGTCTCTTGTGTTTGCTTGAGTGCAGGAGCATTGCTGGATTCATATGCATAACACAAGTGGATATTGCTAAGGGCAAGTTCATGTTCATAGCACCTAGTCCAGGGCCACTACCAGGGAAGATTCTCCTATTTGGATCCCTGACCTGGGTGGAGTAGGGTGTGCAGTTTGGTGAGGGGTACATGCAGAAACTGCCACATGCTCCAAGTCGTTGATTGATCAGCACTGTTCCATTTGGCCTCCATTCAGTCAATATTGTCACAGTAACGAATGTGTTCACAACACATTATAATACCCATGCTGTTTGTGGAAGTGCTATTGGAGCAAAGACAAGCCAGCTGGCTTCTTCCACACCAATTTGCACTGCTTCCCATCACCTTCAGCTCGTTCACATGCCAGAATCTGCGATGAAATCACTTCTTCGTCAGGGGCGCATACATAATTGAGGTTGGATTCAGTCAGGGAACGCTTACCTCTCTTGCTCTCTTGTCACTAGGTGTCCAAGACAGCCGTGAATCCTCCGCCCTGCTAGAAGAACTCCCTCTTTGATCAGACGACTGTACACCTTGTAGTTTCCGCTTCAACATCACATGCTTGGGGATCTTGCTCCCTGTGTGCCGGAACTTCTGCAGAGACGCATCGGCCTCCTCTCGCCTTCTGGCAGAGTCATCTTGAAAGAGGCTCGTGCAGACCCGTTGGTTTGTGGATTGCTCTCTGCCACGAAACTGTCTGTTGGTTTGAGGTGGTGCTGGTGGAGAAGCCCATCTGTCATGGCTCGGCGAGCTCTGAAATTGCTGCTGCTGCGACCGATAGTACTGGGTGTTAGAAAGGCCCTGCTGCTGTTGCTGCTGATAATAATCAGGCCGACCGGGCTGCGCCTGATGAGGAACGTGTCCTGATGGATAATGGTGGTCATCCGACCGAGTCCCTGGGGCAGAATAGCGGGAGAGCTGAGGGAAGGAGGACCTTGCGCCATATGGGTTTCCTCGTGTACCAGCTGGGGGGACTTCTGAATGGAAGGATGAACTGCCTGTAGGGTTACTCTGGTGACCTGCTGATTGCCTTCTTGACATCCAGCCCTGCAAGGCAGATCTGACGCCACTTGAAGCGGAGGGAGCTACAGAGGGCTCTGATTCGCTTGCTCCTGCATCAAGGAACTGGAAGTTATGATATCTATAATCATATATGCATGAAGTCCATGCATAGTATAGCTGAATTGGGAAAGACAGCAAAAAACTGAACCACTCGTTAAACAAAGAGTGAGAGCAAGCCCACCTTGGAAGTATGTGCTACTGGCAGGTGATGCAGAATAGTGACTGCTGGGAGAATCGGTCATGCGAGCTTGAGACATGTGGTTGCGGTAATAGTCTTCATCCCCAAGAAGCGGTGCTGCATCAGCCTGCTCAATCTCGAATGCAGATGGGAAGCTCCGAACACCACTGGGCTCATCACCAAATGAATAGTCATCCATTTCCCCAGCTGGCGTAGTCAGACGCTCTGATGGTCCTGGCCTGCAGTACAATCCATGCTGCTGTGGCTGCTGTTGATATCTGTCCTGCTGCTGGCGATGCTCCTGCTCATATCCCCTCCATCCACCACCACGCTGACCAGGACCACCATCGTCGTCATCACTCAATACCAGGGTTTCAGCTTCTGAGGCCGTCGGTCGAGCAGATGGATGGCCCCAGGGCGCATCTGGAGGTGACCTCGATCGCCTTCCAGAGGGGAAACGAGACCCCAAGAATGCAGACGAAGCAGCAGCTGCAGCGGGGGGAGGATTAATCAAGTGTTCATGACGCGAAGTATATCCAGGATCTGGGTTGAAAGGCATGTCTCGTGGTGGTGGCATGCCAGCATATGCACTTTCGGGATGATAACTGGTTTGCCTCATGTCACTCGGGTACATTGGTAGGTTGCCTTCTGATGGAGGTGAATTTCGTGAGCCCTGAACAGGCATGTGGATGTGAGCTGGGCCTTGCCGTGGAGTAGTCTTGTGTTCACACTGGGCCTGGAACAGACTGAGGGAGCGGGATGGAAGTCCGCGAGGAACAGTTGCTGATGCTTGCTGCTCGTGGTGCAGACACATGAACACAGGCAGAGGGAAGCCTGAGGTCATGATGATGTGTGCAGAGAGTGGGTTGAGGGATGGAAAGCGGCATAGGAAGGCCTCTTGTGGGGATTCGGATTCAGGCAGGGGGGTGCGGAAGGGCTGGGTGTCTGATGGTTCGGAGCCTGATTGTTTAGCAGGGGAAGGGGAAGCAGCTGAAGACAGCAGACTGAGAATCAAACTCTCGGTGGAGGTTTCAGATGATGAGAAGAAACATTGTACGTCCAGATCCAGAGCTGCTCCTCCAGCATATAGGTCGTCAACATTGCACTTGATTTGTGTCAGATAGGCGTCAGTTCCCTCAAACACCTGCCACACGATAAGCACAAGTTAGTGACACCGGATTTCTATCAAGCATGACAAAATCCGTCGCATAAAACTTTACTCGCAAAGGATTTAAAAAGGAAAAGGTGTGAGAATTACCAAGAAGCAAGTTTGGTAGGCAAAACTGAGAGCCTTCAGGTGGGTTTCCACAACAGCTTCCAAGCACACGGTCATGAGAGAACTCGATGGAAGACCGTCCATTGCTGCCAGTTTCTGAACTTCCTTCAGACGCTGGGGGTTATAGATGATTAATGAAGTGGATGCATTCAGCACAATCTCTGCCGGTGCTACCAGATCTCGTTCAATGATCTGCGAAGGGGAAAAAACAATCAATCAATATCCGATTATACTGGAAAAGAGGAAGCACAAGAAGCATTTCATTACCTGAATGCCACTCTCCTCCAGCTGGAGGATCTTATCATAGAGTTGCCTTCGTCTGAGAACAATGGGGTCAAACTGGTCCCTCGTGTTCACAATGACAGTCCTCTTGTATTCCACAGCAGCCTTCTTCTTTTCTGGCACGCCCACTGAATAATGACGTGACAGATGCTGCTCCTGTCTCCATTCGTTCGGCTCTGTAACCAGCTCAGGTGCTTCAATAGTCGTGTATAGAGCAGCATTCATACCAATTGAGGCAGCATGCCTTTCAGATTCTTGTGCTATGGCAATCTCATCGTAACGGTCTTCTGGTTCTTCTGGTTCACTATCAAGAAGAATGACTGTGGGAGTCTCTGGTTTCCGTTGCTCTAAGTGTTGAGCCTTCTCAGCCGTAATTGAAATCACCTCCTTTGCAGCTTGTGTAGGCGTGGTCTGCACGTAAAGAAAAAAAGGTTTGAGCATGATTATTCACGAGCAAAGGACGGACAAGGGTTATGGTAACAAACCTTGACCTTCGGTAGCAATGCCTCTTCAGGGTCCTCCACAACAAGAATGTGAATCTTTTCACTGATGGGATTGAATACATGCAGATCTTGTTCGTCGACAAGATCACTGTAAATAATCACCATACCGAACTTGTTCACCGGAAACGAAGGCACCAAATATCTGCTGGAAAGAATCCAGATTAGCACATAGTAAGCATTGAACGAACAGGCCACGGATCAGTACAGTGATAAAACACATAGCATCCACTTACTTGGGTGAAACAAGGAGGCAGTCTGAAATCTCAAGCGCTTCGTTCACCTTCCCTTGCACCATCTCCCAATTCCCCTTTGGTATCCCCCTCCCATCCATCCCAGAGAGCGCTCCAGAACGTCCGATCTGGAAAGGCTGGAACTGGCATGTGCCCAGCAGCTTGTACATGGTGAAAAACGCCATGTTGTCAGCAACAATCAGCACATTTGCAGAACCTGTAGACGCCGCATTACCCTTGGAGTCTAACTGGTAGGTCTTTTTATGGGCTCGGAGGAGAGAGGTCAGCATGGAGAGCTTCGGGTGATCCACCGTTGCACCACCCTCCACCAGCTCAAACGCTGATGCCAGTGCTTCTCTGGTCCTCTTGAAGGAAGGTGCAAGGTGAGCAATCGAAGCGGTTTCCAACCCCTGCTCCAGAAACAGATGAGCAACGCGGATACCATACTGCCAGCATAGCATTGCAGACTGGTGAAGCAGGTACAGGCATTTCAACTGTTGCAGCACACGGTCCTGCGATAGCTGGCCAGAAGTTCGCCGAGAAATCTCTTCTTTGATAAATCGGCTGACTTCCTGCTTCAAGCGGAAGGGTCCTACAAACGTCTTGGCTTCCTTGTTCAGTGACCAGAGCAGAGTCTGATACTCTCCCTTGGCTAGAACCAGGATATCCTCAAGGTCCTGTGACATCTGCACTCTGTGGACCTGTGAAGCCATCTCTTTCAAGGACTGGCTAGTAGCTGGAGGTGACTTCATGAAAATGGGTTGCGCAACAGGGACATCCTCGACCTCCTTTTCCACAGATCTAGCGGCATCATATGCTCTAAAGCTGACCTCTTCTGCAGGTCTGGTTGGCTCAACTGCAACTGCAACCTCCTGAGGCGATTCTTGCTGAAGACTTTGCGCTTTGCCCTGCCTTGCACTCAAGAAGAAATTAAGCTCGCTTGACATTTTCTGAACTTGGTGCTGGAACCCAATCCGCTTCCCTTCCTCCCTAGCTGCTGAGCCTGGTGGTGGCCCTCTCTCCTCGTTTTTCGTCAGCATAACAGCAGCAGCTGAAGTGGCGGCGGTTGTGACACCGGCAGCAGCAGCAGAAGCTGCAGCGGCAGAAGCAGATGCAGCGGTAACAGCAGCAGCCGCGACAGAAGCAGACGCAGCTGCAGCAGCAGTATCAGCTGGCACTGGCATCGACACAAATCCTCCGTGAGATAGATTCATTGGAGAAACAGCGGGTGGTGTCACAATCGATGGCTGTGGCTGATGCTGCTGAAGCTGAGGCTGAGGCTGAGGCTGAGGCTGAGGCTGAGGCTGCGGCTGAGGCTGGGGTGAAGGTGTGAATCTTGCATGTGAAAGAGGTGCATGAATCTTTGGTGCAGCCTGAGGTTCACCGTGTCTAACCAAAGGCTGAGATGGCGATTGCGCTGCAATAGCAACACAGGAAGCATGTGGTGATGTTGAAAAGAGTGGTGCAACAGCTGGAGAGGTTGAAACCGAATCTACCATCTGAACCAGGGCTGATGGCAGCACCATCTTTTGCTCAAACTCGGAGACCATTTGTGCGGGTATGCTCTGCATCCTGTCTTCAATAAGAGAAAATATTAAGTCAGATTGAGGCGCCTCTGATTGGAGCAAACGAACTTTTTGAAAAGATAGCTTGCAGCCAGCATTGGAGCAATTGGATGAAGTGCAAGACTTGAAATCTTGCGACAGATGCCAATCCAGGTACAGGAAATCTCTTGCACGAGAAGCCATTGTCAGATTCGCCTTCAGTGACTCGCTTAGAGATAAGAACGCAGTGACAGGTAGGAGATTGCCATCCCCTTGCAATTCGTCCTGCTGCAGAAGTGGAACTGGAAGCGATCGGATTCCACCACAGTTGAAGGTGAGCTGAGGAGCCACAACCAGCTCGTTGAAGTCTTTCATTGACACGCTCAAGGAGGGAAGCGCTTCAAGGCGAAGGCTTTTCTCTTTGTGAATCAGCTCCACGGCCAGCTTCTCACCCATTGGTGACTGGCTGAGTGATGGGAATGGCACATCAAGCAGCGGAACAGCTTCGCTCTTGGCGGAATCACGAACAATTGTGCTTGGCTCCTCCAGAACCTTGCAAAGTGTCTCTGTGTATGTCGGCTTCACTTGATCAACTGCCATCCGACCTGGACCCAACAGCGACATCATATTAGTACGGCTGTTTAAAAGGCCACTCATTGCGTCTTCAGATGGTTTCATCAGATCCATCTTCTTCATAATCGTTGACGGATCCGTCATGGAATGACCGGGATTGATGGGATCGTCCAGGATGCACGGAGGGTCCATGGGACAGAACTTGTCCATCTTGTGTGGCTTGCCGCTCTTTGAAGACGTTGATGAATTGCACGCTGTTTCGAGGTCCAGTAAAGAAACGAGATGTTCCCTGGATGGTGCAGATTCCATCGCGATGGGTTCTGCATCCTCCTCCGCACGTCTGACGTTCTGCCATTTTTTAAGACGAATTAGCATAGAAAGCGAGTAACCAGATCGACTCCATTCAGTGCATGAAAGGCTTACCATCTTTGGTGGAGGATCGACATTTTCCAGTGGCAAGGCATCACAGTCAATTTGATAAAATACTTCCTCTCCGATTTTCTGCATGGTTACGATTAATAAGGTAGGTGCTATCAAGAAAACAGAGAGAAAAAAAAAATCTGTGAGACACGGCGCAAAAGGGACACCGAGAGAAACCTGAAAATCCGTATCCTGCAGTAGCGGTTCCTCTAAATTGGCCATCAAGGGAGTAATGGGTTCAGCATCGTTAAGTTCGTTACTGTCCAGCATCCATTCGATGGTGCGGCTTGAAGTTTTCGACACTACTTGCTTTTGAGGAAGAAACTGCGAGAGAATGGAAGCGGCTGCTGCTTTCGGAAGGATGGTCGCGGAGAGCTCGGAGAAATCGACGCCATGACTGAGGTTCTTGCTGTCATTCGCTAGAAGCTGAAACAATGCGACAGGTATGTCGTCGGGTAAAGCAATGTCTTCACCATCTACAATCTTTGGGCACGGCAAAGTTCGCCGATCTTGTTTTCGTTGCTGCTTCATTGACGCTAATGCGTAGTAGTCCACGTGATGCCAACGTAACCGCATGATCTCCGAAATCGGAAAAGGAAATATCAAGCTCCTGACGCTAGCACACGGAAGAGCACTTCCGTCTCACCGTCTAGTATAGTTCAGGCAAATGGTGATCAAGGTGAACTTGCTTGGGCTCATGGTGCTACCAATTGATGGCTGAATTTCTGATGGTGGTCGCGCGGGTGTCATTGCCTGCGCTGTGAATCTCGGGATCACCGAGCTTCACAGCCTGTCCTAAACTACGCGCTATACGCGTCATCTCGAATCAGATTCCACCTCGTTTTACATATTTGATACTTCGCACGTAGAAAGCATACCACGACAGAGGAGGATCAAGAAAGCTATATCCACCACCACCATAATACAGGATGTCTTTTATAAATACTTCAGTTCAGTGGTCCACCTGTGTCACTGGGGACAATATAAATTAAGCAGATGTGCCGGGTGCAGCATCCAACCCACAAGACTAAGGAGACCCCCTCATCCACACTTCACCCAGTCTTGGTGCAGGAGCACTGGCAGCTCATGGGGTTGCTGGCGCTAGCACAGTTGCAATCACACTGCATCTTCACGCTGCCTCCACTCGAAGGAGGTGGTGGAGGTGGAGGAGAGGGAGAAGGAGAGGGAAGGGCGTTTTGAAGGATGCACTTGTTCTGCACAAGGTCCCAGTTTTGCTGCACCAGGAACTTCATCCCATTCAGCCCCACCAGATTATACTCATACTTCTGTCCGTTCTGCAGGGATCCGGTCTTGGTGCTGCCAAAATTCCACGCGCACTCGTCGCCGTTCTCCCCGCCCCCGTCAACGAACCACCCCGAACCAGCCGGGTCCGTGGCAGTTTCGGTGATCTCGTGCGCGAGCGAGGTGATCATACCATCGATGCCAGGGTTGCCGTTGGGTGACGGGCTCCTTACCCCGCATGCGCCGGGGCACTGCCCGTGGTGCCCCACAAAGGCGAAGCGCAGAGGGGTGGAATTGATGGAATCCTGGGTGTGCCAGCCGCAGTACTTCTTACAAAAGTCTCCAAATATGACGTCTACGCTGGTAAATAGCACGTAGATGCCTTGAGGGTCCAACGGCAAGGGCTTGCCCGGTCCCATTTGGCTCTTCAATACTGCACGGGGGACGGAGAGGCAGGTGGAGGGTGAAGGGAGACGATTTTTTAGTCGACTCAAAAGAAGTCTCCAAATATGACGTCTGCGCTGGTAAACAGCATGTAGATGCCGTGAGGGTCCAGTGGCAAGGGCTTGCCCGGTCCCACCTGGCTCTTCAATACTGCACGGGGGACAGAGAGGCAGGTGGAGGTTCGGGGAAGGGAGAGAGGTGATATAACGCAGGAGAAGGTGAGTGAACGCATGGAAGGTGCACTTAAAACAAGCAGAGGACACACTTAGGGGGGTTGGGTAGAGAGTGGTGGGGAGCGGTACATACTGGCACGTAAGTCGCTGTCTGACGGGTTCTTGCCGCGTGAATAGTTGTCGATCACAGTCCCAGCGAGACGAACCTGCGCCAGGAGCAGATGGCAGCGAGAGGGAGGAAGAGGGAGTGGGTGGATGAGGGCGTGCAAGGGGGAATGACTATTGAGGCGCCTCAAAAGTCGAGTGGATAGTTGTCCATCACGGTCCCAGCGAGACGAACCTGCGCCAGGAAGGAGCAGATGGCAGCAAGAGGGAGTCAGTGGAAGAGCGAATGATTGAACAAGAGACGCATATGAGATGAAGACCACGAGGAGCAGACAGAGCAACGTCATGCGGAGTGGCTAGCTCCGTTTTTAGCTCAACGCTCTTCTCACCTTGGAGCTAACGTTCTTCTTCCCGCCAGCGTCGTTCTGGTAGTACGCGGCACTGATGGCCCACCACCCCTTCACACTCGCATCCAACGCGCCGCCCTGGCTGCCCGAGTCGCTGCTCAGCGACTGCACGAACGCCTCTAGAATCTCCTTGCCCGACCCCGCCCCCCAGCTGCCGTAGTAGATGTGGTAAATGTTGACCGTTGGATTGCCCACCACCACCGGCCCGCCGTGGTACTTGATGATCGGCGCGCTGGCGGCGGGGGTGATGCCGGTTGTGGTGGCGGCGTGGGAGGCGCCGTCAAACGCGGCGGAGAAGCCGTCAGAGGTGGCGGAGCGGACGAGCGGAAAGCCGACGGCTGAAACGATTGCGTCGCCGCCCGGGCCGCCGCGAACGACGGTGGTGGCGGGCCGGTGCTGCTGCTGCTGCTGCTGCTGTTGCTGTCTGCGTAGCAACTGCTGCGCGTGTGCGGGGCGTGTGAGCGCCACGTTCCTTCTCGAACCGCCGGATTCCTCAATCCACTCCGATTTTGCCGGTCGAAGCGCGCCGGAGACAAGGAGCAGGACGAACGCGAAGCGAAGAACCGGGGAGAAAGCGAATGACCCAGCCGCCGCCGCCATGGTGATGACCGCGAATGCCGGCACCGTTGAGAGGCTCGAGTTCGAGTCCAGAATCGTTCAGTGCGAAAGCTAGTACTGCTAGTAGTAACGAATTGGGTGCTTGGAGGTGCTGCGCTGATAGAAGATCCAGCGGCGGAGCATGCTAAAATACTCAACGGCGTTCTCACGAGACCGCCTACACGCGCGGTGCGGCATTTTCGGACTGCTATTAACGGCCAGACGTGTTTCAGACGTGCTCGGCTCGCCTTGTTTTCATTGTCGCTACAAGTAGTCGCCGCTTGCCCGTTACACTTGGCCGCCGCTGGCCCGCGTACGAGGCAAGTCGTGCTCGACATTGGCTCTACGCGATTCTGGTTCGCCAGTCCAGCCCAACCGACCCGAAGGGCAGAAAATTAGGGAGTGCTGTGTCGCAGGCTTTGCTTGAGGAAGAAGAGCGGGCTGGGTTAGTGGATGGGCTGGGCTGGGGGGTGACGATGACGAGACGAAGTGATGTGGTGGAGTGTACGACACGGGTGATCTTGTAGCAAGGTGGCTCGTGTCGCGGATACTAGCGAACGGCTCGGATTTGTCATCCCAGCAAAAGACAAGTCGAAAATTCGCCATAGAGAATACTCGTTTCGTTTGAGTCAGTAGTACATGGCTTCGGTGGTGATATGAGCCCCAACCAGCAATTGCTGATACACATATTTCTGGGAACTTGAAAACCCACAACCTTTACGGAGCAGAGATGTTTTGTTGGGTTGCGTACAAAAAAAAAAAAACAAACAAACAAACAAACAAACAAACAAACAAAAAACAAACAAACAAAAAAATCTGCTTGCCATCATGCAAAAGCTCAACAACGTGTGAATCTTATTATCTTCACTATACATGTATATTTTGAGGTGGTTGGTACAGCCTTGATCTACATACGAACGATCAAATATGGGGATCAAGATGGAATCGGCTCGAGAGGGTGTACCCGGGATTTCAAATGGCGCATATACCGCGTATTTCAGGACAACTTGTAGAATACCTGTGATCCCGATATCCACAGCGCAAGCAGCAACACTCGTGCCATGTCACCACACCACCTTATCACTGCCACAGTGCGGCTCGGGCCAGTTCGGCAAAGAAAGCACTCTACTAGTCTGTTGTGCTTGCCGACAAGGCCTCAGTTGTGAGGGAGCAAGTGTGGGTGGGGGACACTGCCAGTGGAAACTTTTCGTTACAGTAATCATTTATTCCAGTTACTAGAGCATGGCGAATATCGTGATACCGTATTAGTCATATCGCGAGTACTGGGCTGGGAGCTGGGTGTGGTACCCCCGTACTGCATCAGCGTGCTTCCTAAACCCGGGCAGGGGCGGAAGGAGCACCCAATTTTTGCAGGCCGTGGTGGTTCGGCGAGAATGAGTATAGTAGTGTACCCACCTGTCCGGCCTCGCGTGCCTGTGGTTACTGATGCCGACTCTCTTCGGGCTCGGCGGGGCTTGGCCGGGGAACCTTGCCGTTGAGAGTGGGCTGGGGTCCATCGCGACCAAAAGGCATCTCGGGGGGCGGGGGGGGGGGGGGGTGGGTATGCTGCTGACTGCTTGAGGGGAACGACCACTTCCCCGTCTCCCAGCTAGCTGGCGTTTTTTTTTTTCGACGGCGTGCCACGTGGGGGAAAAAAAAATACGCGAGGGAATGCTCTTTGGCGGCGAAACGGGTCCCAAGTTTTTCCCGACCCTTATAACAATGGCTGCAGCGGCTTTCAACACTTCATCTTATAAAGCATAGAAACCACCTCCTGTCAGCCATACAAACCACCTCCACTTCAGCCTCCTCTCACTTCCGTCAGCAGCCATGTTTCTCTATCAGGATCTGATCTCTGGTACGTTGTATACTATAGTATATCCGATGCAAGTTTCCAGACATGATGCGAGTTTTTTTTTTTTTCTTCATCATAGTATCGCTGATTGTGGCACAATTCGGTTTCCATTAATGTGTTATCAGGTGACGCGCTGCTGTCCAACAATTATCGCCTCACGGAGACTCAGAACGGCATCTTATACGAAGTCGAGAGCCAGGTAAGATCTTACCTAGTACTTCTTTGACAGCACAAATGATCCGACGCGTGTCGCTAAGTAGCTGTCTTTGTTTGGATGATCCGACGCGTGTCGCTAAGTAGCTGTCTTTGTCTGGATGATCCGACGCGTGTCGCTAAGTAGCTGTCTTTGTCTGGATGATCCGACGCGTGTCGCTAAGTAGCTGTCTTTGTCTGGATGATCCGACGCGTGTCGCTAAGTAGCTGTCTTTGTCTGGATGATCCGACGCATGTCGCTAAGTAGCTGTCTTTGTCTGGATGATCCGACGCGTGTCGCTAAGTAGCTGTCTTTGTCTGGATGATCCGACGCGTGTCGCTAAGTAGTTGTCTTTGTCTGGATGATCCGACGCGTGTCGCTAAGTAGCTGTCTTTGTCTGGATGATCCGACGCATGCTGTGGGTGGAAAAGAGCCGTGGCGAGGACGAGGCTGCGGAGGGTGAGCCCGAGAAGGTTGCGGAGATTGTCGACAGATTCAAATTACAGGCACGTTTGCAATGGACACTACGAATACAGTAATGTCAAGCCATTTTGTAGGGTTGCTCAAGTTACGGTCAAAGTTGATGTGCTAGCCATCGTTGCATTCGAATGCTGTTCTAAGAGCATAGGTTGCATCCGTGTCCTTATGCGTGTATGTGTGTATGTGTGTGTGTGTGTGTGTGTGTGTGTGTGTGTGTGTGTGTGTGTGTGTGCGCGCGCGCGCGCGTGTGTGTGTGTGTGTGTATGTGTGTGTGTGTACGTGCCCGCGTGTGTGTGTGTGTGTGCGTGCGCGTGCGCGTCCGCGTCCGCGTGCGCGTGCGCGTCCGCGTGCGCGTGCGCGTCTGCGTGCGCGTCCGCGTCCGCGTGCGTGTCCGCGTGTGTGCGTGTGTGCGTGTGTGCGCGTGTGTGCGTGTGTGTGCGCGTGTGCACGTGTGCGTGTGCGGGTGCGGGTGCGTGTGTGTTTTTAGTGCAGGAACTACCAGCGCTTGACAAGGATGCTTTCGAAGATTACGTGAAGGCTCACATCAAAAAGCTCGTAAAGCTGATTCCTAATGAGAGGCGAACGGAATTCATTGCGGAGTCGGCCGGTGCTGCCAATTGGCTCATCTCCAAGCTCGATGACCTGAAGTTGTACGTTATCAGCCACAACTTCAAGTTTAGAAAGTTCCTTCTCTCCCTCATCTTCCCCTCTTAACCCCCCCATCCCCCAACCCCCCAAACCTCGTCACCCCAAGCCATGCAGTGATCAGATTGGTCTTGTCTTGTCGATTGATTCCCTGCTCCCTGATGTTTTTTTTGCCTTTTCTCATGCAGCTTTGCTGGTGAGAACATGAACTTAGATAACTTGGAGGAAGGCTCACTCATTTATGCTTACCACAAGGATGGTGCTGACAACCTCACCTTTGTCTATTTCAAGGACGGCCTGAAGAAGGGGGACTTCTTTTAAGCTTTAGCTATTTGATGTTTGACAAGTAGCCATGCCATGTATCAATGTATCAGTGTTAGGATACTGAGAAGCCATGCCTTCTTTATAAAGCTCACTTGTGTTTAGGATACCGAGAAGCCATTCAGTTGATCACAACAAAGAGCAACAAAGGTTTCCAAACAGCACACTGTTGGCACCAAGGTAGGAAGAGTTTCTTCCTACTTCAGTCTGCTGAGCGATGCTGATGCTGCGCCCCCCACTGCCTTCCCTTCTGCTCTGCCAGCGTCAGCATCAGCAGGCTTTGTGTGTGGCTGTCAAACATATGCTGCATATTGTCTAGGCTGTAGTGGGGTAGCCCATATGGGGTACAACCCAAATTAGGGTTTACTACTTGTACTCCTGCATGCTACTAGTTCATTCATTCCTGCTGCTAGATTCTAACATGGTTTCAGAGCACTAAGGTCCGTAGGACCGTTTTTTTTTTCGGGCCCACCTACCGCTGCGGTTACCGCGCTACCCCACGTACCTGCCTGCCTTGCCTTGCCTTGTGACGTGCTGCACTACGCGCGCCGTCCAGCAGCCCTAGCGCTGCCTCCTACTGCCCTAGGCCAGCGCACTGCCCCTAGAGGCCCGTAAGGCCCGCGCGCCGCCCCTACACGCCCTTCAGGCCCGCGAACAGCCCCTGCAGACCGTTAGGCCCCTTGCTGCCGCGCGCTGCCCGCACCGAGCCGCGCGCAGCCCGCTGCAGCCGCGCGCAGCCCGCACTGAGCCCACGCTGCCCGCTGCAGCCGCGCGCAGCCCGCACCGAGCCGCGCGCAGCCCGCTGCAGCCGCGCGCAGCCCGCACCGAGCCGCGCGCAGCCCGCTGCTGCCGCGCGCAGCCCGCGCCGAGCCCACGCAGCCCGCGTCGAGCCGCGCGCGGCCTGCTACGGCCTCGCGAGGCCCGCGCGCGGCCCGCAGCAGCCCGCGCCGAGCCGCGCGCGGCCTGCTACTGCCTCGCGCGGCCCGCGCGCGGCCCGCAACAGCCCGCGCCGAGCCGCGCGCGGCCCGCTACTGCCTAGCGCGGCCGCGCGCGGCCTGCAGCAGCTCAGCGTGCTGTCAGCGCAGCCCGCGCCGAGCCGCGCGCGGCCCTCTGCCTCGGCCCCGACCTGCCGCTGATGCGGCCCCGCCCTGCAGCTGCCACGGCCCCGACCTGCCGCTGATGCGGCCCCGCCCTGCAGCTGCCACGGCCCCGACCTGCCGCTGACGCGGCCCCACCCTGCAACTGCCGCTGAAGCGGCCCCGCCCTGCAGCTGCTTCGGCCCTGCTCTGCAGCCGGTGTTGCGGCCCCGACGTCGCCGCTGTCGAACGCCTACTCGGCCGCCGCCCGTTGAGCGCCGGCCCTGCTCGCCCGGTGAGCGCCTGCTCTCCCAGCCTTTGGTGAGCGCCTGCCTGCCTGCCTGCCTGCCTGCCGGCCTGCCTGCCTGCCTGCCTGCCTGCCTGCCTGCCTGTCTGCCTGCCTGCCTGCCGGCCTGCCTGCCTGCCTGCCTGCCTGCCTGCCGGCCTGCCTGTCTGTCTGCCTGCCTGCCTGCCTGTCTGCCTGCCGGCCTGCCTGCCTGTCGGCCTGCCTGCCTGCCTGCTTGCCTGCCTGCCTGCCGTGCCTGCCCTGCCCACGCTACTGCTGCTGCTACTGCTACTGGCAGGTGGCCAGATGCAGCTCCAGCGACGTTCACGCGAGCCTCTCACGCCCCAGCAGCTTAGTGAGTGGTATACTAGCTGGGGTTGTCGCGGTAGCCGTCGTAGCTGTCGCCTTGGAGCTGGTCAGTTGGGAGCGTCCGGCAGTGGCCAGCTGCAGCTGCAGCGGCGTCCACGCGAGACACTTACGTCCCAGCAGCTCCATGAGTGGTACGCTCAGTGTAGCAGGTCTACGCGTACAGTTCACTGCCCGTACGTCATTCGCACAGGTGATCGGACTGGTCAGCCTTGCGGGACGCTTGGTCACACACAGTCCCGCTGCTTTGCCCGTCTGAGCGACGCCTGGCGTACCGAGTTTGGCGACGAGGCTGGGCTACTCACCTGGCTGGAGCTGCTTGACCAGAGGGTAGATATCTTTGCTCTTGACTATGATGCTATTCTCACTGCCATGTATGCATTGCCTACTAGTGCTGACCGTGCCTGTTACCTGTGCGTACCGCCTGACCCTGGTATAGAGCCTGCTGCTCTCGGTACTGGTGAGGCTGCTGCTCTAGGTGCTCGTGCGTCTCCTGCTCTAGGTGCTGGTGAGGCTGCTGCTCTAGGTGCTAGTGCGTCCCCTGCTCTAGGTGCTGGTGAGGCTGCTGCTCTAGGTGCTGGTGAGTCTGCTCCCTCTGGTACTGCGCCTGCTACGGTCTCGCACACCTTCACCCTTGACTCAGGAGCTTCCCGCTCCTTCTTTCGCGACTGCACCACACTCACGCCGCTTAGTCGGCCAGTTCCAGTCTCCCTGGCGGACCCCTCCGGGGGTCCAGTCCTTGCTCACTACTCCACGGTTCTGCCGTGTCCGGCCGCCCCGTCTGGCTCGCTGTCAGGTCTTTACCTCCCCTCGTTCTCTACGAACTTGGTGAGTGGAGCTGACCTCCAGGATCGGGAGGTTGACCAGTTCACTCCTGCGAGTCAGCGAGTGACTCACTGTACGTGTGCTAGGACGGGCCGACACTTGGCCACGTTCACCCGTGCACCTGGCTCGAGTCTGTACACACTGACCACTGAGTCCCCTCAGGTAGCTGCGTCTGCGTCTACGTCTGGTCAGCTGGCAGCCCCCTGCGAGTGCCGCGCTTTGTCGCACGACACTTTCCTGTGGCACCACCGCCTTGGTCACCCCTCCCTGCCTCGCCTTCGTCGCATGCACTCTCGCTCCCTGGTCTCTGGTCTTCCCAGGTCTCTGCCTGCCCTCCCTCCCTCGCCTGCGCCGCCCTGCATTCCTTGCGTCGAGGGGCGGCAGCGCACCGCTCCTCACTCCTCCTCGTTCCCTCCCACGGAGGCTCCTCTGCAGACGCTCCACCTGGACGTGTGGGGCCCAGCCCGCGTCCGTGGACAGGGCCACGAGCGGTACTTCCTGCTGGTTGTCGACGACTACACGCGCTACACCACGGTCTTCCCCTTGCAGAGCAAGGGGGAGGTCCCTGATGTCTTGATCCCTTGGATCCGCGCTGTTCGTCTCCAGCTCCGCGAGCGGTTCGAGCGGGACTTTCCTGTCCTGCGTATGCACTCTGACAGAGGTGGTGAGTTCACCTCAGACCTCTTGGCAGCCTACTGTGCGGAGCGCGGCATCCGCCAGACGTACACGCTTCCGGCCTCTCCGCAGCAGAATGGGGTTGCTGAGCACCGCATTGGCTTAGTCATGGAGGTCGCTCGTACCTCCATGATCCATGCGGCTGCCCCCCATTTTCTGTGGCCGTTTGCGGTCCGGTACGCTGCGCATCAGCTCAACCTCTGGCCCCGTGTCTCCTTGCCGGAGACCTCGCCCACACTGCTGTGGACGGGGAAGGTTGGCGATGCGTCGCGTTTCCGGGTCTGGGGTGCTCGTGCCTACGTTCGCGATACCACCGCGGACAAGCTCTCCGCCCGCGCTGTTCCCTATGTCTTCCTTGGCTTTGTCCCTGACGCGCCTGGTTGGCAGTTTTACCACCCCACCTCGCGCCGTGTCTTTGCGTCTCAGGACGTCACGTTCGACGAGTCGGTTCCCTTTTACCGTCTCTTCCCCTACCGCACTGCCCCTCTCCCCCCCCCACCGCTCTTCCTCGCTCCAGGTGCTCCCCAGGTAGACCCCCTCCCCGCGCCAGGTCCTGCCCCTTCAGGTGTTTCTCAGGTAGACCCTCCTCCCTTGACTGCGCCGGTTGAGGTCACTGGTGACTCAGGTCCTGCTGAGGGTGGTCCTGCTCGGGGTGCTACTTCTGGGGGTGCTGAGCCTGGGGGTGCGGAGCCTGGGGGTGCTGAGTCTGGGGGTGCTGAGCCTGGGGGTGCGCAGCTTGAGGGTGTGGAGCCTGAAGGTGCTGAGCCTGTGTGTGAGGGGTCTGGGGGTGCTGCACCTGGGGGTGCTGAGGCGTCTGGTGAGCAGTCACCCTCGAGCGGCCGTCTCCGTAGTCGCTCCGCTGGTGCCTCGCCGCTGCCCTCTCGTCGTCGACTCCCCCTCTCCTCCCTGCAGCTGGTTGAGTGGTACCTTGGCCGTCAGGGCCGCGCTGCTGGAGCTGGAGGTTCTGGAGCTGCTGAGGGTGCGGACGCTGGAGGTTCTGGCACTGCTGGAGGTCCTGGTGCTGGTGGTGCTGGAGACGGAGGTTCTGGAGCTGCTGCGGGTGCTGGCGCTGGAGGTTCTGGAGCTGCTGGAGGTGCTGGCGCTGAGGGTGCTGGCACTGGAGGTTCTGGAGCTGTTCGAGGTGCTGACGCTGAGGGTTCTGAGTCTGCTGTTGTGCGGTCTCCTTGGAGTACCCGCCTTCGTCCACGTGTACCTCTCACCTCACAGCAGTTGCACGACTGGTACGGTCGCCGCCCGGGTCGCACTGCTGGAGCCCGGGGCTCTGCTGCTGGAGGTACTTCTGCTGACGTCCCTGGAGCTAGGAGTGGTGCTGGTACTTTGTCTACTGGAGGTGCTGGAGTCGCTGGTCCCGGAGGTGCTCGTACTGGAGGTACTGGAGCTGTTGGGGCTGGGGGTGCTGCGTCTGGAGGTGCTGCTGCTGGAGACACTGAGGCTGGAGACCCTGGGACTGGAGGTGCTGGTTCTGGGGGTGCTGCTGCTGGAGACACTGCGGTTGGAGACCCTGGGACTGGAGGTGCTGGTTCTGGGGGTGCTGCTGCTGGAGACACTAAGGTTGGAGACCCTGGGACTAGACGTGTCGGTTCTGGGGCTGGAGCTTCTGGAGCTGCTGGAGGTACTGGAGCTGCTGGAGCTGCCGGTACTGGTGCAGCTGCGCCGACACGACTGTTCTTCGCTCCGCCGTCTCCATCGTCTCTGCCGCCGCCTGACTCTCTTCTTCGTCAGGTTCTTACTCTCCCGTCGTCTACTGGTCT